CTGCGAGTCGAAGCCCGATCACTCGATCACGTACAGCGATTTGAACTTGCATAGTGTGTCATCCTTTCTCACACGATGACCTCACCCTGCAGGGCGCGGAGGACCAGGTGCAGACGCTGAAGCGGCAGAGCGCGTTCCTGATTTGAAAAAACCTGCGAATTTGAGCTCCAGCACCTGAAACCCTCTACTCAGAAGAAAGCTACATCCCACTGCTTGCTTGTGACGTCATCGCATTGACTTGATGACGTCATCCCGCAGGGCTTGGAGGACCAGGTGAAGACGCTGAAGCGGCAGAGCGCGTTCCTGAACCGAGCCTGCAGATCCAAATTACCTCAGAGACATAAAGCGCATCTCAATTTTCAAGAGGCAGACCGCGTCATCTTTCTGACGTGATGACGTCACCCCGCAGGGCGCCGAGGACCAGGTGAAGACGCTGAAGCGGCAGAGCGCGTTCCTGAGCCAGCTGGCGGCCAAGACGGTGCCCAAGGGCCTGCACTGCCTCTCGCAGCGCCTCACCGTCGACCACAGCAGTGCCGCGCCGCACCAGAAACTGGCGCTGCCCGACCGGAGCAGGCTTGAGGCAAGTCATGGGCTCGATGCTTTGTTTGGTTTCTCTCGGTAGAAAAGCTGCTGAAATCATATCAACATTTCGTGCATTCCAGGTGAGGGTTGGGCTGTCATCGCCGTCGCAGACCGTGCTCAGTTTTCATTTTCGTTTTGTCAATAAAAAGTGGCTCGTTGGTATGTAGAACGATCGTAACCCAGCTGGAGCAGGCTCGAGGGTAGTCCTGCGCTCGACGGCCCGCTTCTTCTCGCATGAGTGCTTCGGTCCGAGCGCTTCTCCGCCAATCAACGACTGGTAGGGCGTCGGTCCACTTGGCAGAAGGCAGCTTCTTCAGAGACCACTTTGGACGGTTTTGACTCCTGGCTGACAATCATCTCCTTACTTTCGTGCAGTGCAAAAAAGCTGCCAATTTGTTGCGTCCAGAACCCACTGCTGACATCACCGTCCTGATTTTGAGTAGGACCCCTCGCTGTTTTACTAACTGCTCTTCAACAGCGACCTGGCCGCTGCGTCCGTCGTCAACTCGGATCCTTCTACTCATACTAACTAACTGCTGACATCAAACCAACTCTCGATGCCGTCACCGCTCTTATCGTGCAGGAACCCTCTCTGTTCCACCGCGCGCTCTTCTCCAACAACGTCCTTGCGGCCGCGGTGGTCATCGATTCAATTCATTTCCCTCCAAGAACCCACCGCTGACATCATCCCAACTCCTGCTGACGTCACTGCTCTTCTTGCGCAAACCCCTCGCCGTTCCACTAAGGGCTCTTTTCCAGCGCTTTTCGACCCGACAACGTCCTCGCAGCCGCGGCCGTCGTTAACCCACGTCATCTTCGCTTCCGTTCATCCACTGCTTACTTCATATTGACGTCACGTCTCATATTACCTCAGGACCCCTCCCTGTTCCACTACACGTTTTTCTCCAACAACAACCTCGCGGCTGCGGTCGTCATCAACTCGACTCAATTTCGCTTCCGTTTACCCACTGCTGACGTCATGTTTCATATCTCCTCCCTGTTCCAGTACGTGCTCTTCTTCAACAACGTCCTGGCCCGCCGCGGTCGTTGTCAACTCGAGTCAACCTTACACAGCTTCACTTATCTCTACTCATTTCTACTAGCCCATTGCTGACGTCAACACAACGCCCGCTGACGTCACCACTCTTTCTGCGAGGGACCCCTCTCTCTTCCACTACGCGCTCTTCTCCGACAACGTGCTCGCCGCCGCGGTCGTCATCAACCCAACTCATTCCAGCTTCACTTGCTGCTGACGTCATCCCTACTTTCTCGTTGACGTCACATCTCTCTCTGCGCAGGACCCCTCCTTGTTCCACTACGCGCTCTTCTCCGACAACGTGCTCGCCGCCGCGGTCGTCGTCAACTCGACGATCACCAACGCGATCGAGCCGGAGCGCCACGTGTTCCACATCGTCACCGACGGGCTCAACAAGGCGGCGTTCCAGATGTGGTTCGCCGAGAACCCGCCCGCGCCCGCGGCGATCGAGATCGAGAGCGTGGACGAGTTCCGCTGGCTGAACGCGTCGTACTGCCCGGTGCTGAAGCAGCTCGAGTCGGAGAGTATGAAGGTGACCGGCTTGAGGTTTATTTTTTATTTTATTTTACTTATACCTGTCTCGAGTTTCGCAGTTTCGGCGTCTTATTTGTTTCGGTTTTGGCTAAATTTCTTCTGGCTTTGTGTCTTGAGTGTTGCGGGGCAATGGGATATAGTGCCCGGTCCTGAAAGCTCGAGCCGGAGAGTATGAAAGTGAGTTTCATGAGATTTTGAGCTGCTAATCGCACTTCGCAGCCGTTCCACTTTCTAACATCCGTTTTGAAACCAGGGCGGATTGTCGGAAAGGCGTTGGTTCTTTACTTGTGGATTTTCGGCGTGATTTCTTGGAATTGGATTGGCGAGTCCGTCTTATTGGGTATGGACGGAGTTCGCTTTGAGAGCATGGAGTTGAGACGCCAAAAGGGCCTAGGTTCTCTGGTTAGGTAAAAGCGGCTTTTGGAAGGCGCAAAGGCCGGTTCTGCGAGCAGAGGAAGGCGGCTGTTGCTAAGCACTGTTGAAGCTGGTCAAGCGCCGCGAAATCGCCCACGTGGCAGCGGAGTCAGGAAGCGGATAATCTTATCTCCCTGTTTAGTCGCTGAAAAGTCTCGCATACCAGGACGCCCTCTTATGAGGCTGCTGCTACGGCAAAGGAAGGAGGGCCGGGCTGTTACGTCCTTGTACCCCAGCTGCAGAGCTGTTCGTTCATCCAGATTGTCGTTTATGCCGCTTACCGAAACGATTCACTTCTCTGCATCAGAGCGGTTCCAGATTGGAGGCTCGCAGGCCTTCGTTATTGTGTCCTTTACATATTTCCTGCACCATACTTGCTCCCGCTTTGCTTTTGGCACCTGAGATCACCCGCTCATGAACATTGTGAGGTACTGAACCTTTTAGATATCTGCTGGTGCCTGATTCCTTTGTTGCCGCGTTGTAGGAGTACTACTTCAAGGCTGACGGGGCCGCGCAGACGACCCACCTCAAGTACCGCAACCCAAAGTACCTGTCGATGCTCAACCACCTGCGGTTCTACCTGCCCGAAGTATACCCCAAACTGGACAAGGTGAGTGCTTCTTCAAAACCTCTGTTGAATTTCTGTAGTTCGAACGAGACTGGTGATTTTGGAGGGGAACGTTGCACTGCTTTCTTTTGTGAGCGGCGAAATGGCTTTGACTTCGGATGTAGGCGCCTGTAAGGAGAAGGCACTTCGGAAGGTCGGCGGCTTTGAGCAACCGGTTGGCAACCCTCGAATCGCAGAAACGCGGTACCCCAAAAAATTCTGACGGGCAGAGTCTTGTAACCAGAGCCTTGTAAACTTTAGAACTCCTATCTGAAATTAAGTTCCTTGACAATCTTTTGGTGCGACACGACCCGACCCGCTTTCTGGTCGAGAACTTGTCCAGCATCTCGAAGACACCACGTGGACATGTCGCTTGAATGTTGGAGGTTTAAAATCCCGGTTCTGGAATTTCAGCCCAGATTTTGGTCCGAGACAATGACAAGACGTTCTGACTCGCATTTGGGGCGAAGAACGTTGCAAGATCTGAGCCGTCATGCCGCTGATTTCAGACTTTGGACTTCTCATATTGTCTACTCAACCCGAACCTAAACCCTAAAATCTCTTTCTCACATTCTAATTGAAGACAAGGACATCGTGGTGCAACGCGACCTAACCCGCCTCTGGGACTAGGACCTGCGCGGCAACGTCGACGGCGCCATCAGGACGTGCAGCTTTGGCATTTGGATTTCAGAACCTTTCGTTCACTCGAAGTTTTCGCTGCAGATTTTGTTTTTCGACGACGACATCGTGGTGCAACGTGTACGGCGCTATTGAGACGTGCGCCTTTGATTCTCATAAATTCGGACCTTTAACTGTCAACATTTAGGACGAAGCTGAGCCTAGAAGTCTCTTCACAGAATTTGACATCGTGGTCCAGCGTGACCTGACCCGCCTATGGCACGAGGACTTCCGCGGCAATCTGAACGGAGCCGTCGAGACGTGCGCCTTTGACTGTCAAAACTCTGGACCTGTAAACTGTTAAGACTTCACAGGAAGCTGAACCCTAGAAAGTTTTTCCGCAGATTTTGTTGACGACGACATCGTGGTGCAACGCGACCTGACCCGCCTCTGGGACGAGGACCTGCGCGGCAACGTGAAACGGCGTCGTCGACACGTGCGGCTCTCGAGTATCCAGAGAGATGAGTAGTAACACTCTAAACCCTACGCTTTTGTGCAGATTCTGTTTTTAGACGACGACATCGTGGTCCAACGTGATTTGACCCGCCTCTGGGACGAGGACCTGCGCGGCAACGTGAACGGCGCCGTCGAGACGTGCGGCGCGAGCTTCCACCGCTTCGACAAGTACCTCAACTTCTCCAACCCCCTGATCCGGGACAATTTCGACCCGCGCGCGTGCGGCTGGGCGTATGGAATGAACGTCTTCGACCTGCGCGCATGGAAGGAGCGCGACATCACGGGCATCTATCACCGCTGGCAGACGCAGGTGCGTCGCTAATTGGGGGATAGAGCAGGCCGTTACCTTCTGTTCCGCTCCGTTCCATTTTGTTTGCCTGCTCTTTCTTGCCACTTGACAGCCGCAATATTCCGTTTGCTCAAGTTGTCCTGTTCTCTGCAGAACGAGGACCGCACTCTTTGGAAGCTCGGCACGCTCCCCCCCGGGTTAATGACGTTCTACGGCCTCACGCATCCGTTGGACAAGTCGTGGCACGTGTTGGGGTTAGGGTATAACCCGGGGGTAGACGACAAGGAAATCGCGCGCGCTGCCGTCATTCACTGGAACGGCAACATGAAGCCGTGGCTAGAGATAGGGATAAGCAAGTTCAAGCCGCTTTGGACGCGCTACATAAACTTCTCGAGCCCGTATTTGCAACGGTGTAACATAGCGGATTGACTTGTTGACGGTTGAAGGAAGAGGGAAAAAGGGAAAAGAAGCTCATTAAGGCTGCTTATGTGCAGTCAATTGAGGAGTTCTCAGAAGGTTAACTCCACTGCTAATCATATACGGGAGATTAAAAAGCGGCTGGATGTCGTGTTGCAACTAACCACAGGTCGGGGTAGATCAGGATCAACTGGGGCCTAACCATCGACTGGACTCTTACAGCTCTTAGTTCGCTCGCACGTATATTATATACGTTAATTCGAACTTCTTGATCAGACTTTCCACACAATCTCTTGAGGAACCCGGATGGGAACCTACTGCCAAAATTGTTGCACCCTGATGTGCATGCACAGCAGATCCACAAAAGCTTCATGCCGATTTCCGTGCGCTTTAAAGTGATGGTATCCAAGTAAGTACTCGAAGCTTTGCATGCCGCTGCTCCGTGCACGCGCTGCGAAGCATGAATCGTGGATTCGTGGCATGATATCCTTCGTCAGTCCTTCGTTCAATAGACGTATAGAAGACATGACATCAAGAGGTATATATCCGTGTCGATATCGGATCATGCAGAGATTTTTGCAGATGTTCGAACGAATAGACGTGTAGAAGACATGACATTCAAGAGGTATATCCGTGTCATTCGGATCATGCAGAGATTTCTGCAGATGTTCAAATGATCGAATATATAGGTGGCGAGTAGCATGGCTGTTTTGCAACTAATATCAACCTGCATCTGCACGCAATTAGCTTTTATGGAGATATTGAAAACAGGTTGCCGACCTGGAAACGAGTTTCGGGACGGGTTTGTTAATACATTTGACTTTGTGGTTGCCCGACGGTTGCAGACAGTAAGTGCACGTTGTCGGGATTCAAAGGGCTGCTCAAGTCCGCAAGCATTGTAGCCCAGTCTTCGACATATTGCGTGTAGTTAGTAAGATACTGTCAGCCTTTCAGTTTTTACTGTTGTATAGACAGTGAGTGTTTCAAATTCAAAATGCGTAGCTAATAAATCTGTTCGTATCAATATTACCAAATTCCGATTACCGTCTACGTACTAGTTAGAGCTGCTGATTGCAAATATGATGTAATTCGTACAGAACATTGTTCCTTTTAAGGGCTTTATGGGTTTTACCTAAGTTACCTATTGATCGTGGGTATGATTCACCAAATATACTTCCCTTCCCTCATCTCATGTATGGTAGTTACAGTTATGTGATCGGTAGTTGTGGTTTCGTAGTATCCAAAGGATACTTCTACCTAATTTTCTTGATCATGCCAGATGGCACACAATATCAAACAGGATGTGGAAAAAACCGCTCGAAAAAGTTTTGAAACGACGCCGATTCATACACGCTACTGCATTTCATGAAGTTTGACAGATTTTGACAAAGTTAGTTTAACAAAGGCTCAATGCCCATCATACTACAGTGACCGCCCGGTCTCACCATCAAAACAGTTTCACCCAAGAACTACAAAATATCACCTGTCGTATTTACAGCCAAAATTTGGACCCTCCTATGCATTATTTATTCCTGTCCAGGGACGTAGTCCGGATCCTCGTCGGGGCCAGTTCCCTCTCCAGGCTGCTTTGTGTTCTTCGTCATATCCTCAGTGAAGGTGCCGGCCTCTTGCTGCAAGACAAACCGTCAAACCGTGAACGCACAGCTTTACTGAAAGTAAGGAGAATGAATGCTTCAAACTCGTTTCTCAGACTATTTTGTGCTCAAGAGAAGCTGAATGCAGAATGGGGGATTACATATTGGCACAAGGGTCGATCTTTTGTCAGATCATCTTTTCGAGCGTGGTAGAGATTTGTCGTTTAAAAAGCTTCAAGACATATCATGCTTCTCGATACAGGTTCAGTGTATCATGCTTTTGCGTACAGCTTTCACCCTATTGTTAAAGGGATGCCTTAAGCTGCACGAGAGCTGTATAACGCACAGATAGCCCAATTCACTCTTTTCTTGAACACTTGACATGTAGATTCAAAGAAGTGTGCACTTTCTGTCAAAACAGTAACAAGGTGAAAAGGGAAACGATTGTCTACCTGCTCCCTCTCCTCCTCTTGGGCGATGGCGTCATCGCTCAATTCCGTTTCCTTCTTTCCGGTCACGTCCTCCGTTGAGGTGTCGACGGGACCCACCGGAGTGCCCATGAGGCCCTGCTCCTCGCCCTCCTGGAAAAGGCCACGCGAAACGGGTGACGTCAGACACTACTGAATCCGAGACGTTGACATTGATTGGAACGACAAAGAATGTTGAACTTTTCAGCTCATGTTGAGGGATGGCCACACGGATGCGTGATGTCAGAGCGATTTTTCACTAATGGTACTGACGTCACAGGTGGCACTCTCGGAGAAGGCAGCAAAAGGGAAATTTACCGGCGGAAATGGACGATGTTGCACGAAGGAGCCATAAGAGAAACCACAAACTTGCTTTGAAGCGAGCAATTGAATACCGCTTGGGAACAAATTGTACCACTCACAGGGAATGTCAGAATCAACGTAAGTTAAGATTACGAGGTAAAGGAGTCAAAGCAAGGTGAAAACACAGGGTAAAGAGAGAGAACTTTTCCGCAATCTCGCTTACCGTTTTACAATGAAAGGCTTCGCCTATGCAATGATCAGCGGGGTTCAAAGACACAGCCAACTCTCTTGTTTCTCCTTTATCATCTTTCTAATGACTCGAAACGTCAAGCTGTAACAGTCACTGTACTGCTTACCCCAACAACGGGTACGGGCTCATCCTTCTCAGTGGTAGGGTACTCATACTCGGGGCCAGACCCCCCCTGAAGCTCAACCTTGTCCTGCAGTTCCAAAGCGACACGTGTCAAAACAGAAGCAGTTGTTGCACAAATTTGTGGAAACGGACTTTCTCAGAGGTTGACCAGTCGTTAAAGCCATGGAATACTCGTTTCAAGTGGGCTGGCGCAAAAAGGGCTTCCACTTGTCCTGGTAACAAGTAATTTGGAACTGCACAGTGCGGGTTATCGAAGTTGTTATGTCTGCAACTTCCCTGCATGCTTTTCTTTTGACTCCGATCTTTTGAACTTTCTGCAACGGGAGTTCGTAACTACTTAAGAACTACTCGAAAGAGAGAACCTAGAGTTACATCGGGCTACACAACAGATGGTAAAACTGGCGAATGGAGAGAAGGTGGGCTGCACAACAGATGGTAAAAACGGAGAGAAGGATGCAGGAAGAAGTTATCGGGGATATGGTGCCGCTTCCGGCTTTCTGAAGCAATCAAACAATCAGAAACTGTTCTTTCAAATATTACCCACCAACCAAGGCAAACGTGAGATCCAACCTTTAAAATTGCACGCCCAAAAGAAAAAGCCAGAGGCAAGACCTTCTGAAGAGGCAAACGCAGCCACAGATCGGAGCGGAAGCTTTCTTCGTTGGAATGGCAGCATGCACGACCAATTTGACTCAACTGGAACCAGAAGCCCCATGTATTTCGTATAGGAGGAACCAGAAACCAGCCAACCCTTTACAGTACCAACTAAAACTTTGCCTGCCTCAACAGATTGAAACTTACATCTGCTTGAAGACATGACGCTCCAAATTGAAATCAACGCGTAGAACGCCGGCACTTAAGGGAGACTGCATGAACAGCAGAATGTTACTTCGCCCCCATCAATCACCTCTCTATGATGACATTGTCAAAGGGTCAAAAGACAAACAAGGGCTTACCTGAGACGACATCTTTGCGAGATGAAGCTTGTTGCGTTCGCGGCGCGGTTTCTTGCGAGAATGTTGAAGATAGGCCTGCGTTTAGGGCGCTTCTTTGCTAAGCAAGTTCTTGTTTCGAAGTTGGAATGTGGGGAGGATGAAATGTGGAAGAAACTGGACGGAAGACTCTTCAAAAGCAAGGGGTTGATTGATCTCTGCCAGCTAAAGTCGGACGTGTCGAATCGGAAACAGGTGTTGGAAAGCAAGCAAAGCAAATTAACAGCTGGCAAGGAAGGGGCGGAAAGAAAACTAAATCTCATCGCAGTACCTAGGTATCATGGAGAATAGAGCCTGTGGCAAGCAGTACTGAGATTCAGAAGCTACGGTAGCCGAGAGCCGGAAAGCTGGCGACATGAGGAATTTTGCATGCAGTGCTCAACCTCGGAGTTCGCCGCAATGCTTGGAAAGCGCCCCGACTTCGACGGTCTGGATCAAGCTACGTCGGCGGTATCAAACTTCGCGCCGTACGATGGCCGGCCCAATTCTAACATGCAAGGACATGCACACGCGCGACGTCACCAGTGTCCAGACTCCGAACTGTACTAAGGAGCGACCATGATTGACAATCCGCATCGCCGATCGGCTTCCATCTCTGGGGGATCCCCTCCGGGGCTTCTCAGACAAGCAGGCTAAGCTTGCAGAGCGTTCACTTCCTGTTACTTTCTGTTATTGTTCCGCCTGCTATGCTACCCGTTAGCTAGGGCAAGCATGACAATCACAGCTGGGTCACAGCTCTCCACTAGTTTAAGCTACAGAAAGACAGTAGATTACGCATTGTAGGTATCGCCCCGAATGTGAGGTGACCTACAGTAACTTGCAATTCTCACCATGCCAATGCACCGCCTGGAAACCGTTGTACTGGATTTGCACTTGTCTCATGTGCTCCAAAGAGGGGGGGACGTTGACGACGTGTACTATTATGCCAGTCAGCTACTACTCGTACAATGTTTGCTTTTGCTCTGCGCCCCGGGCTCTGCGCATTGCCGGAGTGGCACGACTGGAAGACTGGATGCGTCTCACACATCTAAACGACGGGCATTGGAATGAACGGTCAGCTAGTAAATAGAAGCCTCGATCTGTTGCGGCCATACGGCGCACTCAGTAGAGACTGGTTATAAGACCGGAAGTGATTGAATCAGTCCGCCAAACACATTCGTCACTCGATCTTGCGTGGCAAACTCGGAATCAGCCATTGAAGAGAACGCTGAAGGAACACTAAATGCGCCACGCGGTCGACCCTTTAATGCAAAATGTTTCAAACGTTCAGAATGAATTTGGCTCGCATGACAAATATAAGAACTAGGTGTTTCAATTGATTTACCTCTCATGATAATTAGAACCAGGATGAACAGTGGCGATATGAGCCGAGACGTGCACATATGTTTCATAAGCGGGTTGCATAGTGCACAAGGAGCAATCAGATTGTCATTGTCTGCAAGTTACAAAAGCTGACAAGCGTTTATTATCTGCGATTAGTAATGAACGCGGCTGCAAGAAAATATGAGGAAACGACACGAAGCAGTAGCAGTCAGTTGCGACAAGTAACCGAAGATTGCTAAACGTATAGTGGACGGCTTCACAAACGATCACAAATATTCTGGGCTGCTTTCCACAAGCATTGGCCTCAATGAAATATGGGTCGGAAGTATGAGCATTATCTTTTTCATCAATCTGCCTTGTGGCGGAAATTTGCATGTTAGCATTTGCTGATTTGTTGAGGTTACGTGTAGATGAACGGAGCGCTAAACGGAACAACCGGTGCACCCTTTAAGCGTGGCTTTACATATCAAATAGAAGCTACCGACTTCTGGTCTACGCAGCTGTTGCCTGTCTAAATTTGTACTGTGGTTGATTCAACCCAAAATGGAACTTGGTGCCATGTCCCGACACCTAGAGTCCAGTGCTCTCCCCACCCTGGTCAAAAAGTCGTTACAATTAGCATACCAGCCTATTTTGGCGGGTAATATGCCGCAAATCCTGATCTCATGCTTATCAGCCTTCCCTGGAGCGAGCATGTCGCTTCAGTCGTCAAGGAAGAAGAGGCCCCAAAGCCCGACCCTTGGCTTACTTCACGTATCTCTCGCCAGGCTATCGTTCTCAATTTCTTTATTGGGTTAGCACCCGAACACGTCGAAACCCACTCTTCCTCAGTCACGCTCCTTTTTCTGCTTGATCACACTTCCCTCACCTCGTATGTCTCCGGCCGTTGTAAGTAGCCGTCACGTTTGCTATTCACAATCCCCAGAGCTTCCCACCAAACGCCTTTACCCCCCTCAATCGCAAACCCTCCAAGTTCCGCTTTTTATCTCCTCCTCTGCCAGACCTTGTAACCCCCCATAACCCCGTAACCCATTCTCACCCCAAACCCCTTTTTCACCCCCGTAACCCTATTCCTCTTTCTTCATTGCCTTACGCGCGGCTTCGACGCGGTAGTAGATGGACCCGTCGTACGAGCCGCGAATCGACTCCTTGGACACCAGACCGTTCTCGTCCTTTAGCAGCCACCAAGTTAGGCCCCACTCTAGTTTCTCGGCCATCCTGCGGATCGAGAAAGAGGCGTATAAGCGGATTTGTACTTCGGGGGAGATAGAAGGGCCCAGAATGAATCCATGCGCCGCTTTTGATTAGGAAAAGAAATGGCAGCAGTAACGTCATTCCTTTAGAGTACGCGTAATGCAGTGGGACCAAAACGTAATTCAGGACTGGCTGACAATCGTCGTAAGGACGACTGCGAGGAGAGCAATCCAATCAAGAACTTCAAAACCCTTCAAAGTCGAACTGTCCGCTCCTGACCACAAAAATCAGACAAACAATCATTGTCTCGATGGGCATCTGCTAGCATCTGCATCCGCCACACGAAAGTAGGACAGGACAAGGGATAGTAAGAATTCGGTTCGAAGTGTGTGCAGATTTGATTGATCGAGCAAAGAAACCATCGAGAGTTTCAGATGCCGCAAACTTTCTTAGCGAAGCAACGAGTCGCGTACTCCTTCCATCGAAAAGTCTTCAAGAGAGTGTTTTGCGGTGTTAATCAAGAAAGCTCGAAAAAGTGGCAGAACGAATGCCGTCTCACCAACCGAAGAAGTCGTACGGCATCCGGTGCTTCTCGGTCATCTCGAGCAGCTCCTCGAAGGTGAGGCCGCCCTTGTTGCCGTGGTCGAACTGGGTGAAAAGCGCCTCAAACTTTTCGGGGCAGAACCTGGCGGAAGAGGAGATGCGACGGGTTGTGACGGGAAAGCAAATTCCTTGAGTTTCACACGTTAATTCTCATGATAGGAGATCTGTCAGTCTGGAGAAGAGGATGCGACGGGTTGTGATGCAGAGGAGTGGTGTTTCAAATCAAAAATAGGATCGAGGTCCCTACTCAAAGATAAGTCTGCGGGGCCAACGGAGGGTTGGGTTACTATCACCAACGAAAACGGAGTGACGTTTAAGAAAGGAAAGCGTCCCGTGACTCAAGCAAACGCGCGAAGTATTTGCACGTCAAAAGGAACGGTCTCATTTTGGAGCTATTCTGAACGGATACGAGGGGCTAACGACTGCGTCTGAACGGGGAAGAGCGGGAAGTGGGTTCTGCGCACTACACCGTTTCGTAAATTTAAGACCCTGAATAAATCAGGGGTGCTACCCCATATCACGACCAGCACTATACCGTATCGTGATTATAAGACCTTGAATAAATAAAGGTGCTCTTTAGTATGAATCTTTAATGTCTCGCCACAACGATAGGCGAGAGGCATGTTTAAGACCCTCGCATACCACAACCTTCTATCTAAACGAGTTCCTAAGCTGGTAGTTTTGGGGCCTCGGCATCAAGAAGCTTCATCATCCTTCGTAGGCGTGCACTCTTAAGTGTCAACTCTCAAGTGTCGCTTCCGTGCCAAATCGTGTCCGTTTTGGACCTCAGGTTCTTCTCATAAGGAAGTCAGGTCAGACCTCGCATACCGCGGCCTTCTTGCACTTCGACAAAACGCAGACGGACCAGTTGGTGAGCAGTCTACTTTTGAGAGGAAGTAAAAGAAAGTAGAGATTTTTTCTTTCAACAAGGTGGGGCACGCCAGTGAGTAAGCAATCTACTGTCGCAAGTTCCGATATTGCAAGAGCCTCACCGGCCCTCGTAGTCGTACACGTGGGTGTCGCTGCCGTGCTTGGCGCTGTGAATGTTGCGGACCTTGATGCTCAGCAGCGGGTCCGGAAGCCAGCCCTGCGATGATCAGCAAAATCGATGAACCAGATTGTATCATGTGCTTGGTAAAGCTAACTGGGCATACGTGGCTGTGCGAGCTGCTTTCTCTGAACCGGGCCATTTTGTACAGAATGCGCCGATCAGACCGTTGAGAATGAGGGAGCACAACTCCACTTTCCAAGTTCGATGCATATCGACAGACACGTGGCAATCCGAAGGTGGCCGAAACAATGAGTCGCAATCAACGTCAAGCTTTGAGCAACGGGAGTTTTTGACCTCAAATATGTGTATGAAACCTGCAAATGCTCTTTTGATGCATGAGAGACAGTCGAACAGACATGTTTCTGTGATCACGAAAAGAGCATTTGCGGAATGGAAGAGACAGAAGCAATCAAAAGACCGCACTTTGAACCACCTCAAAGCATTCCGCTGGCAACTGCAACACCTCAGGCGGCTCAAATTGCGGCAAATGCAACGGCACTTACGTCCTGGGTGGAGTAGCTGAGGGACGAGTTGAGGATGAATGTAAAGATGACCGAGAAGAAAATGTTCCAACCGAGCGCGCGGAAACCTGGAGAACAGTGTGGAAGTCAATTCTTTCGTTCGTCAAATCACAAATCGTCCGGTGAGCAAACACTAAGCAGCAACCGTGTTGATGTTAAGCGGAGTCGTGAGAGTAGGTACGGAGAGGAAATTCGGGTTTTGAACCTTATTCTGACCCAAACTTGTAGTATGAAAGAATAAACGCCAACAAGAGGGACCTAAATGACTAAAGGTCGAAAGCTAGTCGACGCCATAACTAACAGCAGGTTTGATCTTACAGTGTGCTCTGATGAAGCGGACAATTGACCACTGCAGGTTTGTAAGGATGAATCAGGGGATGAATCAGCAACAAGAAGCCGGCAAGCGAAACGTTGGACAGGGAAGCGATCCACAAGCAGTCTCACATCTGATGCACATAGCACTATACAGATACAGATAGATTCTAACAGGTCCCAGAAGAATAATTGGCACTCCGCAATCCCTTCCCTGGCAGAATGCCTGTACCCCAATCATGACATTTCAATCATCGGCGGACATCTGTAGGTCAGAAAGCCCAAACTCATTTAGGTGCCTTTCCGAAGACCAAAAGACATCTCACCTTCATATGTGTCCCAGGGCATGATGATGCCAGTCTTCCTCCTGCACGGGGGTAAGCAAGCAACTATGAGTTCTTTCGGTATGGCCCAGAGGGAGCTTTATTACTTTGCTGGCCGCCTGCCTGAGTTTTGGGTGTAAGTATCAGCAAAAGGTTCTCATTCACTTCAAAGTTCAGCAATATCTTTTCTGACTTCTTTTAATGGCATGCTTAGTCACTGCTGTGACCGTCCACGTGTTGCAGCGACTGATCAGATTTTGCTATACTTCGCTAATATTGCTTGACGAAGAAAGAAGCTGGATGGAGCACAGGACAGCTCTTGAAGCCGTCATTGATTGGTGGACACAGCATATGCACAGATTCATCTAGGATTTCTAAGGAGATTAGATAGAACAAGAACCAGGAGGGAAGGAAAAAATAGCAGCTGGATCAATCAGGCTCTTATGAGCTACTGAAAACCTACAGGACCATTATGCCCCATTATTCCTTCTGGATCTGATTTGGTTTTCATGGGTCAGTTATTCACAGTCAAAAGAAAATCTAGATGGGCTGTTCCAGCATGGTGTTCAGGAAGTCTTGTCATCAGATCATTTGGCATAATTGGGACGACACTGATCAGTGAATTAGTTCTACTTTCAAAATTGTGCATGACATGCTCCACCACCAATTCATCAGCTGTGCCTAAGAAGGGGCTGAAGCACTGAGCCCAAGCGCTAGACTGAAAAGGGTTTATATTTGCGGCAAAACTTCCAGCTTTTCAGAGAAGCTACCGCACAAACCCAATCACCGGTTTGTGCGGTAGCTTCTTGGGTTGTCTTTGACTCCTAGCATCAAAGACAACCCAAGCAGCTGACAATCGACCGAGTCATCACCAGCCCAGAAACCCTTGCTCTTCCAAGCATCCCCACTTTTATAGCTAAAGAAAAGTTCCAGTCATGCATCTTCAGCAGCTTGCCATGATCCTATGTTTCCATCATCAGACCAGATGGTCCTCTTAAGTACCAGTCGCTTCCGGGCATCAGATGCTTGCCCACCTGTCAAAAAACTCCACATGTTGCTGAAGCACGCTCATCCCCTTAGGATCCTTGAAGTCTGCGCTGCCCTGGGGGTACTCGGGAGTGGCCGCCAGCTGCGCCCGGGGGACGCTGGGCGAGTCCATCTTGGAGTCTAGGTCGGTGGGAACGGGGCGCTCATAAGTGACTGGGGCGGCGGGAGCCACCGTTTCGGAGGCCTTGAGGGGCGCCATCGGGGTTAGAAGTTTAAGGATATTCTCTTCTCAGAGATGGGATCAGTTTTTGAAAGGGAGGGACCTCCAAAAGCGGGTAAACCCAACCAACCTCCTCGGCCAGTTCGCGAGCAAAGTGGATCGAAGCTGCGGAAGCCGCTTAACCGAAGAGAGTAGCAACCAGGTCGAAGGGATGAAGAACCAGGAGCAAAACAGGCTGTTCGCCCCAGAGCTTGGTGGTACCAGTGCCACATCAAGCTGGGCACTTTAACCAAGGGCTTTTGAGTTGCTGTGCCAATGCAGAGAGATTGCGGTACAAATTCCCTGGCATGCAGCTGGCAAATCGTCACCCCCTACAGGAGAAACAGCTAGCGATGCACCCAATGACGATGGGTGCATGATTGCTCCAGCGTTACAGCTGGCTGCCTTCTGTTACGTGGTTGTCTAAGCAGCTCTTTTTGTACCACTCTCAGCGCAGCGTGCGCCCCGGCATACCGGTACTAGTGGTCGAACCTCACCTCTGAGCTCTGACAGAAACCGACAGAAACACAGGAGAATCTAAAAGTAGACCAATCGCAACCAAGCATGCAAAGTCCGTGCTTGATCTGTGCCACGTGGCGTTCTATTGAAGCCCAAAGCAAATGCACTCGGGATTTTGTCTTGTCGCTCGCCAGCAAATGCATCATCGTCCACCCCGCGGTACGTTCGCTCTGCGCACTGCGTCAATGGACACGCCATCGGCACAACGCGCTGATTCCTGAACCTCAGGCTGAAGCAGCACGACCTTTAGTCCTAGTAGGGCAAAACGCCGCATGAGAGTGCACGAATTGAACAGCACACGAAGCCAGCTCACCCATTGAGCTCCAAAGCACCAGACATTACTTCACATCCTCGAGCGAACGGGTGCCCCATGAGATGCAATCAGCATGACTTAGTTATAACTTTTTTCAAAGTAAGCGAGCTCTTCATTGCACTGTAAGTCAGCATGTGAGAGACTTGAACGCGTGCAATGGCTGTAACGATCTTTCGATCGACTCGCGTAACAATGACCATGCAATCCATCATATTTTCACGAAATGTCGGAGTCCAAATGCGATGCCGGGCGACCAATCATTGACTTCCCACATTAGGTAGAGAAGCTAACCAATCCACAGTGTAACTTCAGTATTGCACACCTACCCAAATAGGTGTTCAATGCAAAGCTGCTGAACTGCCATTCGATGCGAAGCCAATTCAAACGTCCATCACAAGATCCTTGTAATCCTCTTCATGTAGAGACGAGCAATTTACAACCTCTGGCAAGGACAGGAAAGAAAACACGTAGGTAATCAAGCAGGGCGATCATATCAAGTCAGCAACATTCATCGGCATCTCATCTATTTGTGTACTATAGTACTGCTCTATGTCCCGGAGAATTCTAATGTCGTCACTGCGCACAAAGTTGATTGCCACACCCTGCAGAACAAAGCTCAGTGGGTCACATCCAATCTTTAATTGACACATCACAAATCCGCCTTCTCGAACCTGTCCTGCAAGCTGAGACCGGACCGTCGACTTATTTGACTGGCATACTTGCAATAGACGAATCAAGCAGCCCAGCCTACTTTTGGAGCATGCCCGTGTGACAACGAGAGGGCCAACCTCAAATGGATCTCGGTGTTGTTACCTACGAATTGAGATGCACGCAGACCATAATACCATGCCTCATTCTTCTCCATTCTGACTCCAGCTGCTGCGCGCTCCCGACACAACCGCGCTTGTTACGGCACATATCGGCCCACCAGAAAAGAAAGTGCTCCAACCTTTCATCTTCCCAGTTCTCACCTTTCGCCCAAACCGCCCTGACCGCCCGATCCTATGGATATACAGCTCACGGTTGTTTGGCAGGTCGTAATTAATGACCAGTGACACCTGGACGGACAACGAGGCAGGCTTTTGCAACTTCGGTTCGTTTTCTTTCTTCCCCTGTCCGGCCGCAATAACCTGGGAAAGCTCGCAGCCTGATGCAACCCAGCTTGATTGGGCAGCACAAATTCGTGAGAAAGTTTGATTCAGAACAGGTACAACCAATCCGAGGTGGCTACTGCCTAGTACAGAGTCAGTCAAATTTTAACCAGGATTGGAACGCAAAACTATAAGCTGGTTGCGGTCGACATCAATGGAAGCAAACCTAACGAAGGAAAAAGAGCGACCCGTTCAACCGCTGAAACTGCAACACGCTGCTGGAAAAAGGATCCCTTTCACGGAAGCAGGTGTCGTTTCCAGTCAACTGGATCAAAGCACTGCAACGGAAAGTAGCACCACCACCATGACCGACGTAAGGCCAAGAGATACAAATTCGGAACAAGGCAACGAACCGCAGCCTGAAAAAAAGACGGAAACAAGAGCGTGGGACGTAGCTGTTGCACGACCCCACCTCCGACCTAGGTTACGAGCGCGTGGACAAAACCTCATCAGAGCGGGACCACAAAACCAGACGCTGAATTGAAAACAAGGACGCCAGACCGACCGAACACGGGAGCACGTGCTTTGCCTGTTACACTTCAAGGGCGTGGGCCTCAGACGTTGGTGCTCATGAGCACAGGAACAGATCCTTGACCGGGAAGCAGAAGCGGTGCTAACATACCATTCAATCTTATAACAAACCGACGAAACCAAAGAGAAATAAGCAATAAAAACAAGAAGAGATAAAAACTTGCTTCACCTGTTGCACGTTGACCCACGAGCCCCAACGTCGGTACAGCGGGGCTTAGCACGCGGGCCGATTCTCTGCCGCGAGCAGACTCTCTACCGCATACCAAACCGGGGGCCCACAATCCAAAACGACCTTACAACGAAAGACGGAGTAAGACGGGCTTTACCTGTTGCACGTCGAGTCCACGGGCCCAGACGTCGGTGGTGATGAGCACGCGGGTGGACCCCCCCCGGAACTCGTTCATGATCGCGTCGCGCTCCTTCTGGGGCATGTCGCCGTGCATGCTGGAGACGGTGAAGTTGTTGCCGCGCATCTTCTCAGTCAGCCAGTCCACCTGTGGGAGATCAGGTCAGGAGACCGCGGTCAGCGCTAACCTGGTATACTGAGAGGTCATCTCAGGGTGGAACGCTGTGAGCTTTTGGGGGCTATGGTGAGAAGGAGAGACTATTGCACGGCGCATTCTGTTGCCGCGCATCATCTCGGTCAGCCAGTCCACCTAAAGGGGGGTCAGCAGAACGACGTCAGCCTTTTGTAGGTGTTGCAGAGCCCTCGAGATTCCATTACGCAAATCAAACCCGAATAGTGATCTTCAATCCTGGTCTCGGAACTTGAGGTCGAATTTTGAGGGTCCTTAAGGTTAAAGCGTCGCACCTTAGGCTTGGATTCGACGAACTTGACAGTGGTGTGATGGTGAGCAGATGAAGGCCGTCAAAACCTCACTCATCCAACCTAAGACCCCCGAAATTGATTGTCTATCTAGAACCCTTTGAAGTAATTCAAAGACAGTGCGTTGCTTTTCCGGCGCACATTCCGCTTGCTACTAGACGAAGATGACGGCCTACGTAAATTCGAGCGTGTCGTACAAATGGCAACCCAAGTCGACCCCTCAATCTTCATGCCTGAGAATCAGAATGTGAGCTCTCAGAACTTCCAAAGATGACGTCAAATTCAAACAGCTGACGCACCTTCCGCTTGGTGTTGACAAAGATGACGGCCTGCGTGATGGTGAGCGTGTCGTACAGGTCGCACAGCGTGTCGAACTTCCACTCCTCGCGCTCGACGGCCACAAAGAACTGCTTGATGCCCTCCAGCGTCAGCTCGTCGCGCTTCACCATGATGCGCACCGGGTCCGTCATGAACTTGCTCGTCATCTCCAGCACGTCGTGCGGCATCGTTGCGCTCACCAGCACCACCTGGCAGGATTTGAGTGGTTGAGGATTTGTTCTAATACGAGGTTTGAGAGTCAAGGTGCTTACAAGGTCTAACAGTCGAGGTGGTTACGCGATAGAAGCTTGCTAGTGATCTCCAGCACGTCGTGCGGCATCATTGCGTTCACCAGCACCACCTGGCAAAATTTTGGTGGTTTGAATATAAGTTTTTGATGGGTTTAATTTGATAATATGTGCCCATCACGAGTCGAGGCGAGACTGAAGCCTTGGTCGCCACTCCAGCACGTCGTGCGGCACGAGCACCATCTGGCGGAAACTAGGTGCTTTGATATTCCAGGGTTTTGAACCTAAGGTCGTGAACATCGACTTCCGCTACCAGGTAGGCGCTTGCCCATTCAACCCAGCACCTCGTGCAGCATCCTCAAATCACCGGAACACCCTCGCAGCCAGTTGAAAAGCTCCAAGAATATAGGCTTTCAGAGTCGAAGTCGAAGGAACCAAGGATTAGGACCCTGCTTGTCGTCTCAGTACGCTGTGTGAGCTCCCCAACACCATCAAGGAGGACTTCAACCAATGAAACACGTGACAATCATATATTCAAAAACTTTCAGAACAACGAAGAACGCAACGTGGTGAAGCAGCACATCATGAGCGACAGGAAGGTCCTTCCAAATCGCAACTTGTGTCTCGAACTGCGAGCCTCGTCAGGACCCCACACCTCGAATTAGGAGAGTCGCAGAATAAGACAAGATAGTAGCTAGTCAATTCCATATCGCGGTCTTCCGACTTCATCCTGAAGATATTTATCGGGCCAGGTACCTCGAACAACATCCCCGGAGACGGTCCTGGAGATGGAAAAGACGACTATGGCAAAGCAGACGGGTAACTAACACTTCATCCAGCAATGATTCTCAACGAAAGCAGGAAGGCCACAAACACGAGCTGGATTATCCAACGGTCTTTCGGCTGCACGCGTGGAGAGCACTACATGAGGCGGCCAAACCATAACTGAGACCGATTGATGTGATATGAGCAGGCTCACCTGCAACTCTGGTGGTAGGTATCTGTACACATCGTAGATCTGGTCCTTGAACCCTCTGCTGAGCATCTCATCGGCCTCGTCCTGCATGAGAAAGATTGCCAGAAGCCAATCAGAAACTCCGCAAGGTACAAACAGTGTTTGGCTTTGATGGAGGCTCTCGAAATCTACAATGAGAGTATTCTTAACGTGCAGGGAGTAAGATAGCTGGTCCAAAACTACTCCAAGCACAGTCGTCTTGAATAAGCTGTGCTGTCCCAGAAAAAAGGGACAATTTGGTGTCTCATCCGGAGCGACAAACTTACCGAGGTTCACTATCAACGGCTGCATTTCACAACCAACGGCTGCACTTCACAATCAACACCCACAACGTCCAAACGAAGAGGCAACATTGTGACTCAGCCGAAACCAAGCCAGCCTGGGGGTGATCAATACTGTTCGGTGCCCTCCTCCTCACAAGGATGTATCCGAATCTCGCGCATGCGTAGCACCCTTTCAACAACTATGAGAGGGTAGCGATTTACTAAGAGCATCCATTCCCCATAGTCAAATTGAATTCATCTCCATCCACAAGCCCAGAATGCCATTTTCCTGTCGACCAACCTCAAAGCCCGAGATGCATCAACCCCTTACCAGGATAAGGATTTTGATGGCCCGCGTGCGCAGCGTTTGCCTCTTGATCATGTCGTACACGCGCCCCGGCGTCCCCGACACCACGTGCACCCCGTACTCCAGCTTCCGGATATCCTCCCCCAGACTAGTTCCCCCGATGCACGCGTGCGCTTGGATGTTCAGATGGTCCCCCATGGCCAGAATCACCTTCTGCGTCTGCGTCGCCAGCTCGCGCGTGGGCGACATGATCAAAGCCTGGACCCTGCGATGCGAATTGCACAACGCTAATTGGAACGGTGAAATACTATTTGCCAAGCCAAAATTCTTTTCATCCGACTTTTGCGTGTCTTCTTTTCAAATCGGAGACCATTTGGAGAAGCGGCCAGACCGTGCTCGGGTATCTTCTCCTTCTTTCTGATTAAACTGGTGGTTGTTGCACCCAGCATCTGATGTTTCCTGTCCTCTCATATGAGACAGATTTTCTTGAAACGAGATGCATCTGCAGTGCAGAAGACGAAGCTGCGGTGTCATGATACTTCTTGGATAGACTATCTCATTTTAAAAGTTGAGTCAACTTATCGAAGGACAGTTGCATTGACTTCGCAGACTCAATGTCCATATTGCAACTTCGCAGAATTAGGGTTTTGGGGCGGAACTCGAATTTGCAATCTGGCTAAAAAAATAATACAACTGGGTTGCGGGAACGTGCAGATTGCAACTGCACCTTTCTACGCAGGTGTAGGGGATTGGAACCTGATTTCAACCCTGATTTGCCAAACGTCTGAAGAAGCTGAAAACATGTTTCACCAATCAGAGTAGCCCTGACAAATTGTTTGCAAGGAAAACACCCAGTTGAATCCAGCACCATTACCATAAAAGTGCGCGAGCACCTCAAGCTCTGCACTCGTTTTTTTTTTTTTTTTTTTAGACACACACATTCAAGCGCTATACCCTTTCACTCTTTCTGATGTCGAAACATCATACTCAAGTGTCAGAATATAGATGCGCAAAATAAAGAAAATGCAAGGCAGAACCAACGGGACCACTGCCGAGCGAGGGGACGACTACTATGCCAAAGCCCATGAAAAATTGAATAGCCCGTATTCTTGGATGCACACCCTGTCTCCAATTGCCTGCCACTTAGCCTTGGCACTCTTGTGTCCACGATTTGGCATTTGTGAAAAACAACCCTGAAAGCCACCGTCACGAACGCAATCGAAGAACAGCAAAAAGTGACCAGCAGAAGGAGAAGGACTCACTCTCGCAACTTTGTGTCAACGATCTGGCACACGGCCATTGAGATGAGCGACGTCTTCCCCGTCCCTGACTGGGCCTGAGCAATTACATCCCTCTCCTTCACAATTGGCACGATCGCTCGCTGCTGAATTGCCGACGGCTTCTCAAACCCGTAATTGTACACCCCTCTCAGGAGCTCGTCTTTGAGCCCCATCGAATCGAAGGTGGGGACGACGTCCACCCCAGGGGTCGTTTCAAAGATGAGCGCTTCATCCTCGTCGACAGACTTTTTCAGCGGACCGCCTCGGGGGGCCCCGGCTTGGCTCATGCCGACTATTCAAATATGTAACACTGCAAAAGGCTTGTTGACAACGCACCCTGCTCTCCAATCCAATCCCTGCACAATTGTCTTGGCTAACTCAGACGAAGCTGGGGCCGTCCTGTTCTTGATTGAGGGAGCGAAGGTTTTGCTCCCATGGAACTTGGCAATGGAAGCAGAGGGCGCAGACGCCAGCCAAAATGTCGGCGCGAGCAGAATTGTAAGCGGGCGGAATTATCATATCCAAACTGCCCACAAGGTCAAAACGACTTGGCTAGGTCCCAAAACGTTCTCTACAAGTTTCCGCCATCGTTGGGTGTCATTTGCCCGGTCCATTTGAATGCCCAAGATTTGCATTTTAGCTGGGGAAGTCAGACATAGGGCCACTTCAGCCTTGACACTGATGGCTCCACCGGGTGCGTTAACCCGAAAGTGGGTGGAAATGGTGGCCAACAAGTCATATAAGACGTCTGCAAACTTTGGTGGACGCGCCCGCGGTGGAGCCCATACGGTCTGCTCGCTACTGGGCGCTACATATTTTGGCTGGGCGTCTGCGCCCTCTGAATGGAAGGTGGTAATATGCAAGCTCGTCATGTGCAGCTAGCTCATCAGCACAGGAAACTTGGTAATTCCGAAGGGCGCAGAAAATCCATCCTGACGCCGCCGTATTCCAGCACCTTATGAAAATCGGCCGGCGTATATACCTACGCAAGACGTGCCTAGCTAGGCTGACGTGTTTATCCCTACGACGTGCATGAGCTATAGCAATCGCTTATGAGTCTCGCCGTGTGTAATATGTCAGGTAGATCTTAATTTATCAAAGCAACTCTCGAAAGATCATGTGCCAGGCCGAGCATTTGGCCTCGTTCAATTTGCCAGGAGCCTGACAGTGAGGGTCATCTTCATGATCAGAGAAACCTGAACAGTTGAGCATGGCGTGGATTCAACGAGTAGCTCTCCTGCTGCAGAGATGCTCGACAGTGCCCTCCCTCACCAGGGCAGGCTTGGGAAGCAACCTTATCGCACCTGCAGCCGGTAGACCATCCTTATTCTACAATTCTTTTGCGGGTGAGCTGTCTTTCAAGTACTATGAAAGTACGATCGGAATGTTTCGTAGTGCGGTCAGGTATCCGTAATGTCTATGGTGAAGGTTTGGATGTGACCTGGTTTCAGGTAGTGATGCCCGCGCTCTGCCTAATCTAGGAGAGTTTCTGAATTGGCGCGGATCATCTAGACTGTCAGTAAAAAGAGCAATGTAACGAGCGCTCCCAGACAATGCAAGCCACGTGTCTTCATACAGGGATGTATGGACTCGATTGATCTTAAGATCCTATTACGGCACTTTGTGAGAATTTTGAGAACTCTCATCAAAAGGTTCACTAGACGCTGCGGTGGGGGTGGTAAAATGCGAGAAGCTTCACCACCACTTTGAGATCAACTTGCGAGTACCTTTATCTGCAGCATTTGCAAGGGGAGCACCGTCCTGCAGAACATATGGCGTCGCTGCAAGGCTGGATGATGAGGACGCCATCCCAATACCTGATTTTACTCCCGCCAGAAAGAATGCTGGTAGGCGCTTGCAGACCGACCTTTACCGTGATGCCACCATTATCAGGTTCGCCACTTAAAGTATGTTGGATTAGTATTATTTGATACTGAAAGTGCCATTAGAGGTTGGTGAGCACTTTTGGAACGTCTGCACCATGCTAGAACATGCGCCCAATGCTTAGTTTTCATCCGTGACATGGTGCAACATCAGCAGTTTGTCAGTTGGTTTCTTGGACTCAGCAGTGTTCTAGTTGTCAAAGTATTCTTTCCATTGCTTGCCTGTCATCTGGAATGGAGTTTACGCCTCTAAAAGTGCGCCATAGGTTTTCGATCCTTGGTTCACTAGCGCCACGTGTGACTTGCTTGCCAGGCATCCGTCTCAGGTTGCAGTGTTTGCAAGCAAGTACGTGATTTCCAGGGGATCTTGCTTTTTCCCCGCAATTGAGATAAGGACAGCTTATTGAGCAAATTCCAGTGGTGCAAACATTCTGATTGGTCCATGTTATGTGGCAAATTGCAGGGGCAGCGACACCGAGCTCGGAGGCGTTCGAAGCAACGCGGGCGGAGGTTGTATCGACCCTGAGCTCTAAAGACCTGCCCCGAAAGAGAATAGTCATGGATCTCATCGAAAGTGCCTCCAGCACGGAGCACATCGATGAGATGTTTGAGCTGCTGAAGAAGCTGAAAATCGAGGTAAGGGGGTGATCCGTTTTGTCTCGTACTGTTGATTAGTATGGACATCACCTGTGTTGTGGCGATTCTTGATTATGTGCTTTCACCCGAGAGGGCCAATCCTGATTTCCCTGCCACATTTGATTCTGGTGAACATTGCATATAAATATGCTCAGACAACCTCCGATCCCGTTTTTGGCCGACATTTGTGGGCAGGCAAGGGTGCTTTGCATGTCTTTGTTCTTAAATGACAGGGGGAGGCCACCGGAGCTCTGCTTCAAGTTTAGATATCAACTACTTGTCAAACTTTCTTCTCTTCCTCGCATCAACACCAATGATTAAGAATCCAGCAGATTGGCTTTCAATTTTTCCATAAAGCAACAGACAAAGCTTTGTTAGATAGGGACCCTGTTCGGCTCGCTTACATATATATTTGCTGCCTTTTGCAGAGAGCGGTGCTGCGGCAGCAGATGAGCCCTCTGAACCCGCACATGTCAGTCCAAGTTGCGTTGGCGTGTGCTCGGGCCGGCGTACTGGAGAAAGGCAAGAGATCAGTTCGGAACTCCACATTTTACGGCCAATGAGCTTCATTGTCGTACTTCAGAAAATCTTTCAGTATAAAGGCGGGCTCACGTCCTCGCCACTCGTCGGCAACGTTTTGACTCGGATTTCAGGGTGCAGGACTGCAATTGGATTCTTTGTACGAATCATAATCGTACACATGACGCTTGTTGATGTCGCTCTGTATGTTCCTCGGTGTGACTTGTACCGTATGGAATCCAAGACAGTTTCAGGCCTCTATTGGTTCGGTTTCTGCCCTGATCGGGTTCTAAGTGCCTGCTTCGGCTTTCAGAGTAGTTGGATCTGACGCCTTTTTGTTTTGCAATGCGTGCTGATTGGACGTGCGGGTCTGGTTATTATCTGGGCAGCTTGAACTGCAATGATTTCGACGAGACACGCTGTGGCATCGTGCCTGTCAATGAGTCCTGCTAGGACGAAGTTTCTCTTGGGGCTGGCCAATGATGGAAAAAACGTCCGCTAGCAGCTGATCATCCATGACGATCAATTTGTCACCATCTTTCGACTGAGGCCACTCAGCCCCGTCTGATTCTGTTGCTGCGTTTCGGCTGTGTTTGACGCTTGCAGATGTTTCAGACTGACGCCTCCTACTTGGTTGGGATCGGTTCTTTGGTTGTGAAGTCGTGTCTTCCGTGGCAGAAGAGAAGCGTTTGCTTTTGACGCGATTCAAATTCTCATAAATACTGAGGCAGGATGGAGGATGACTGTTCAGGTCTTTTTTTCTCTGTCCACTTTATTGAGTCGCTTGTCGTTTACTTTGCAGGCCTCGTGACGGTGCAGCACCGAAACTCATACGGGCTCAGACCGTCTCTGGACGCCGCACATGTTCTCATTGTAAGCCGACCATCACTTCTCGTCCCTTTCAACGAAAGGACGATTGGATACTGGAAACGTCCTCGTCGACCTCTAGTTGAAGTTTGTAACCGCATTGCTTGGCCCAAAAGAGCAGACTCAAGTCCGCGAAGTGCTTCCAAACAACAGATATGGGTCTGCATACCTCCCAGTGGCTGAACCTGATCTGGGGTGCCAGCTTGATACGATTCAACTTTCATGCAAGTGGCCGAAATAAATTGCCAGCAACCCAAGCTCAAGGTCGACCATCAGGGAGCCAATTTGAGCTCTGTCAGACCAGACGTATGGCTGATATTCCAAGAACGGCCGGTCAAGCGACTCTGCGGTTGGCGGCGCCACTGGTTTACGTCAATTCAAACTGTGAAGGAGTTGCGTACTTAGCGGACCACAGTCCCTAAAGTGGAAGCGAATCAATATGAGGAAGTCACAGATTTTAGCAGGAAGGTTTTGGAACAAAGAGGACTTTCGACGCTTGCAGAAAGGATAAATATGTAATCGCTTGCTGATCAGGAGTGTGCTTGTGACTGCAGGACAAGGCGGGCGAGCGGAACAACATCGATCTGGTGGTGAAGGTCTTCCGGACACTGCTGGAGAACGGGCTCAACCCCAAGTCCACGACGGCGGATCTCGTCATGAGGTGCGTGTTGGTACTCGTTGGTTCGACTTTTTCGGGAGTTGGAGACTTGCTCATGTCTGACCGTTTGATTAGTGGGCTACCAGATGACGTGGCGGCTTATGCAACACTTGAGCAGCCGGCTGACGTGGCGGCTGATGTGAGTTTTGGGCTGTTGTTGCACGAGCAGGTTGTGGCGTGCTTGCCCTAGAGGCGTGCTTGCCCTAGAGCTCTCTCTGCGCATGTCGAGAGGAGGGTCGTGGTTCGGGTGCTAAAGTCCAACCATCCTCTGATGCAACGCGGGATCTGGGCTCGACCGAACGGACCTTGCACAGCATCGCTTCCTTATTCACAGTTTGTCTTACAATCCACGCTTCTTTTCTCGTTATACTAAGTGTCGATTATGCTACAGCGAAGCTTTGCGCCGAACATATCATATCATAGTGAACGATGTTTGCTCTTCCGCGGAGTATTGATCATTCTCTGCGTGGCTCATAGCGTTTCTTCGCTTCCTGCCATCAATCTGGTCCGTCGACGCCCCCTTAATTTACCGCGTCCGCCTGGCAAGCTGGCGGCTAACCCAAAACACGGCAGCCTTGGTTAACGGCGGTCTTTCCGGCACGCAGAGCAATCACGCGCGGGGGGCCGAAGCACGCGCCGGAGTTCTTCCGCTTCGCTGAGGAGTTCTTTCTCAACGGAATCAAACTGTGGGCCGGTTGGTACGAGAAGCTCATGTCCCGGGCAACGGCCACTGGTACGTACCATACCGCCAAATCCTTTCGCACCTTTGCTCTTCTAACATTTATTCAGAGTGTGTAAGCTTTTGCACCGGTTCCTAACTACTGAGTTTAGTTCTCGTTTTTGCTATCGGAAGATTGGAATCAACCTGAAGAGTCTTGTTTTATGTTTTCGACTTTCCGCACCGGGCAGCAGATGCTCTTTCAGAGATTTTCGCCTTTTTTTGAATAGGTATTTGGACGTGAAAGGACAAAAGCAGAACGGTGGGAAGGTCCATCCGTGCTTTTGTCGCATACGTTCTAGACACAAGCCTTCGTTATTCGCCCGGCTGCAACATTCCGTTCAACAGTATCAATTGTGCAATGATCTCATCCATCTGAAGCTTCTTTGTGCACTCTATGGCGTGTCTGGGTGTCCCGATTCTTCTTGCATCCTCAGGGCTGCATTTGAGTGCCGGAGCAGGCTTCAGGTGCAAAGTCGCGCAGTACAAAGGCTGTAAAATTCTGTTCATTTACGTGCATGAACACCAAGTTTCAATCCTTGTTCAAACTTTTTTAGTATTCACTCCTTTTCTGAGTGCTCTGCTCCATCACACGGCCCATTCCGGTCTAACTGGTCGAAGCTCAGACAAATAATGGGCGAAAGGCGTCAAGATTAGCCTGATACCTTGCGCTTTGCACCGTTTAATCTGAGCGCTCCCCTCCTTGCAGGCGATTACAAGCTCTTCGAGAAGTGGGCGCGCCGGCGGGAAGCCGGGGGCATGCCGGTGTCGAAGCGCGTCAGCTTTGTTATGGCCAAGGGCTACGTCCTGCTAGGAGACGCCAAGAGAGCTGCGGACGTCCTGGCTCGAGGTCGCGGGCACGTCGAAACCGTGAGTACCAATTTGTGTGCAATCCGTTTGAGTGCAATCCTTTTTTTTCCCTTTTCCCTCCCTTTTTTGTTGTCTTTTCTTTGCGGTCTTCCTTTCGCTCATTGTCTTTCTTATGGGAGTGCCGCTCGTAAAGCTGAAACCGTGGCGGTCGGCAATGCCCACAAAAAATGTTGGCGGATGTCCTAGCTCGGGGCGAGCACACCTTGAAACTCTGAGCGCAGACGAGTCTGGTTTTCTTCCATCAAAGTGCTTCTTCATCGGGCGCCCTGGTTGATAAGAGCTGAAAGGCGACAACAGGGAACGCCTCGATGCCGGCGCCCGATTTAGCCCGGCGTTGAGATGTAACTCATCCCTTCCCGTCTTTGCATCGCTCCGCCTGTGATCGCAGCCAACGCCAAAGCTGGCCTTGACCTGGCTCGAGATCTGGTATCGCTGCCGATTTTGCACTTTCAGCCATTTAAAAATTAGCGCGGCCATCGGACGGCTTTGATCTTGCGATCAGTGACAATGTAGTTGGTCAGCTGGCTTTTTGGAACAAAGGCCGCAAAACAATTGTGATTTGCGGTCATGGGAAAGGCAATCTTGGCCGCCAGGACAGCTGCGGGTTCCGATTCATTCAGGGCCTGGCATACGTCCGACGTTGTTGGGCGTTATTTGAGCAGAGGTTACGGGGCCATGGTCGCCCACTACGGTGGCAGATAGCAAGCGATCTGAGACTTGTGTTCTTGCTTTTTACAGTGCATGTCTGTCGTAGTCCGTCCTCGCTTATCTTCTAACCTTGAGTTTCGATCCTTCCTTGCTTCTTCTTGTGCAGGGGGCGGACTGGACCGACGGTAACTGGGACACCCACTGTAGGGACATGGTGACTAAATGGCCCACGTGGCTGCACCAGAAACGGGGTACGAAGGTGAGAGAGTTTCTGCCGTTGTCTTCTGTCCGGCCTTTGGTAAGTGCTTGTGTGTTTCTACAACGATTTTGAAATCGGGCTAGGCGCTAGGAACCGGCGGAAGGTATTCGAGAGTGCGTTTGTCCGGGATTCTTTACACCGAGGTTGTTGTAAGAATGTTCACAAAATCATGTGATCTGCCCGTGGCTGTCGCTTGTGAGTGTCATCACCATGCACGGTGACAACAACCGGATTGTGCGGAGCTTTTGAAGGGTCTGGAAGGGGTCGACGGGACTGCGCTGCCCTGCACTTCTATCAAACCATTGTCGTCCTGTGGACTCGAAAGCCTGAGTATCCCCTGCTGCATTGCAGGTCGACTTCGACAAGTTGAAGACCACATTGACGGAGGTGCAAGCGCTTTTGAAGGAGCAAGGTGTCAGGTTTGAGGTCGACGTGGCAAAAGAGTTTAAGGTGCCAAGAGGCAAGACGGCTGAGGTATGGAATGCAAGTGAAGGGTTGGAGGCGGAATCACCAACGGAAGAATTTCACCAAACAACTGTCGAATCAGTGGGTTCGGAGGGGAAGCATGATGGGGAGCCCACTGATGACATTGCGAACGCCAGTGGGGCGTCAGCAAGTTCGGAAGACCCTGTGGGTGACGGGATCAAGAAGGAATAGTTGACCGCGATAGCCAACTTCGGAAGTCTGACACGCAGTGTGTTTTAAGAACGTTTGTTGTAATTGGGGAGCCTCGTGCAAGCAGTCCTGTCCATGGAAGCCGCATAAAAATTGTTATGCATGCATTGGTCAGACCGCTGGTTGCTGAATTGCTTTGTGTGCTGGTGCATAATTGATCCCTGCGCTTGCTAAATGGCAGAACCAAAGCAGCAAGCTGGCTGCCAATCTATGCTTGATTGCCATTATCTCCTCTCCCCTAAGAGCAGGCGTAATGGAACGAGAAGGGGACACAGACCAGATTCGTGATGCGGTCTGAATGTGATAGACCAACCCAGATCTAGCGTGCTTGAGGTCTGCCGGAAGTTGCCCTCAATGTATCACCCGACAAAACACGCGTCGTCATACATGGATTTTGATATTGCAGAAGTGGATAACATACACGCAGATTTCATGGAGAAGTAGATTCTCCTAATGATATCTACCTGGCTGCCGCCTGAGCCAAGTACGTTCTTGCATGGACCATATGTGTACCGTACATGCATCTGTGTGCATTGCCAGCTTCTTGCCTTATCGTTTAATTCAGCTCGGGCCTATTACCACTTGTTTTGCCTGGTGCTCCGGGCACTGTCTGGGCCCCCTTCCGGCACCTTCAGCATGGCAAGTGCCTCATTGCTGTCGGTCAGATCTAAGGCTATTCGTTGATCGGACGGTTCAGAACCTGATAACTCGCTTAGCAGAGTATCAAGTATTCCGCACCCGGGTTACCACCGAACTACCGACCGGTACATTCAGTTCATGCCCTGGCCATGAGGCCCAGGGCCAGAAACATAGCTGCCAGCTTTGCTGAAAAGCGGGGGCTTGCTGAAAGGCTCAGTGTAACCATATTCCATATTTGTTCACTTGTCCAAGGCTCGTGAAAGATCAAGGGCATGCTGGAAGCAATGATGGAGGGTGGTATTGCTCCAGCGAATGCTGAGAAGAGAACGCGCTGTCAGCACATTGGTTGTGATGAGTACTTCACTGAGGCGAACAATCCAGAAGGAGCCTGCAAGTACCACCCGGGCGTGAGTACCCACATGGAAATCAATCTTTCTGTGACCCTTCTTCTGTCCCAATTAAGCAGGCAATCACATTATGAGTCTTGCAATGTTGCTTATTCCTTCCTAAGTGTTGGTAGCAACGACTTCTGCCTTGGCGCTGATGGAATCTGTGTCAAGCTTGTGAAGCGGAACTGCTAGTGAGCTAACAAGAGTCTCTTCTCCTTTTCCCTGTGCTCCTCCGCTTGTATGCCACTTTCTTCAATCATGCCACCACTTTCAGCCGGTAAGTCCTTTGCCCATCAATGCATTTCTGGTTGATTGAATATCTTGAGAATGACTCGATTCATGCGAAGTGGTCGTATCAAAGGGGCCTTCATCACTCTCTATTCACTGGTGAAAGTTGCATCATTCTTGCCTAGGAAACCAGTTACTCTCGTTTAATTCACTTGGCTTACAATGAACTAACTCCTTGCAAAAGACCTCAGCAGCTTTGCTGGAGTCTATGACCATCAACTGCTCTATCGCTTTGGCCTTGTGTCAGGTCGTCAGCAACTAGTATGGAGGTCCAGGGGCAGTTCTAGAAAAGTGCTTTGAGATCCAACAGGCTGCTGTGCAAAGTCTTTTGGCTGATCCTCTGGCTGTGGGACGCTGCAGCCTGTTTTCCATGATGGTGGCAAGGAGTGGGGCTGTTGCAAGCAGAGGAGTCACGATTTTGGGCTCTTCATGAGCATCCCAGGGTGAGCTCCCACATACATGCGCACACTAACTCTTGTGTCTACTCGCTCTTCCTTTGGGGATTGGTTGTACTGCGCTGACAGTGGCATCTGGTGCAAACAGCCTCGCCCTGCTAGGAGCTCAACGCCGTAGGTCTCGTTGGCTGCATCAGAGTGATGAGAAATTGACTTAAAATGGAGTCAAGGTGCCTGAAGGTGCGCTGGGTTCAGTAGCCATCATTGCCCAGCCAAAGTGAAGAGTCTGTGTCGGCTATGTCTCAATGAAGTGGGTGGCCTGCTAGATCCCACCTCTTTGACTTTACCTGTTCTTTAATCTAGTTTGCCAGCTTGGACCCCGCAGCTCAAGTTAACTCCTTTCGAAGCAAGATCTCTCGTCTTCTGAGGCGTCAACTCGTTTGCTGCAGTGTCGGTTGTCAAGCCTGCCCTTGATCTTGCACAGGGAACGAAAACTTTCATACCTGTGTGTTGCAAAACGATTGTACTAAGAGGTTCGAAGACAAGATAGTCAGAACAAAGTCAAGCTGCGCTATGTAACTGGCCCAGGTGTACCAACGGAAAGCACTCCTCCGAAAAGCCAGCAAAACCAGCCCCCAGTCCAAACAAGCCCCTGCTTCCCCCTACGTCTGCTGCCGGCTCTCAAGCTGGTGTGAAAGCGGACTGTCCTCGATGCAGACAGGGCTTCTTCTGCGCAGATCACCGGAGTATACCAGGTGGGGTGTTGATTCGAACGCTTCGACCTTTGATAGTTGAAAACGTCGGAATGTTTCGCTCAACGTTATGCAATCTGGAAATCCAAAGCCGAATTGAAGTCTCTAGAAGTTTGGTGTTTGTGCTTCAATAGCTGTGTCTTTGAGAGCACAACTTGCTGGGAGCAAATGACTTAACTAACGCGATGAGCGGATCGGGACATGCGCAGATACATTCTTTCTCTGCGGTTGCTCTGTCGTTTTGGTCGTGCCTCTGCTGGCCTTGAATTGCTCTTAGGGGTGGGGGGAGGGGGTAGGGGACGAACGGAGGCGGGAGGAGGTGGGAGAAATGGGAAAGATTGGAAGGGGGAGGGGGAGGGATGACACAGAGAGACTGTCGGAACGGGTGAGGCGCAATTCGATTTTGTGATTTAAAAAACAGCGGACTGGAGACTTATGCTTCGAAGGTTTCAGGCATGTGTCTCAGTTAGTAGTCGACTTCGAAGGCTGCTGAACGTGGATCCACAATGCCCAGAGTATGGCTTGGGCCTGTAGTCTTCCCCGCAACGGCTTTGTTGCCCAGTCCCAGCGGCTTTCTGTTCAACCCGTCTGAAGACAGCTTTTCGTACGTCGAGGCCCGACTCGCGAAGACTCCAAAACATGTTGGTGTAGTGAAGGGCGCTTTTTCCCTTTGTCCATTTCAGGGGTGACCGCCAAATCCATACAACCCGCAAAAGCGCCCGCACCCATCCCCCCCGCCACCGCTCCCCCCCCTAAAGAAAAGAAGGTCGTCGGGCTAGACGAAACGCAGGTGTGCAAGCACAAGGCCTGCGGACAAAAGTTTACGGAGCGGGAAAACCACGACGCAGCATGTAAATACCACCCGGGGCCTGCCGTTTTTCATGACCGAATGCGAGGGGTGAGGACTCTCTTTTTGCGGTGTCCTTTGCATCGTGTTGACCTTTCTGTAGGTTCATATCCTCGCTTTTTCCTGCTTCAAATATGACGGGGCGCATTTGCGCGGTCCTACTCTATACAAGTTCATACCGTTTGCAAAATCTGCTTCTTACCGGCAGAGTACTTGTTTGGTCACTACCCTGCCGGTCTTGCTTTTACACGCGACGTATCGCAAGAGTGCGAACACTCCTCGCACTTCCATTTGTTCGAGCTCACTGTGGACTTTCTTCTATGCGCCTGAGTGGAGCTTGGGCTGCACGCAATCCCTTTGAGGTGTGAATTATTTTGGCAGTATCCTACTTGGACAGCGGTATCTTTGCAAGCGACCACTTTTCACTTAAGTCCATGGTCTCCTTATAATATGGAACTCCAGATAGACAGAAAGAGACTACTGAATATTTCCGACGGCTCCAACCGTTGTTTTGCAGTGGGCTTGCTGCGACGTGCACGTGAAGGACTTCGACGACTTCATGGCTATTCCACCGTGCAAAGAAGGCTGGCATGACGCAGACCCGTCTTAGAACGTATGCATGACAATCGGCAGGTAATCTGTTCACCAGGTGACCTTCGAAAGGTAGTGACCCACTGGACGATTTATGTACTGTATATGCCCGTTATTTGCTGATTCGCCACCAGCAGTGGCAACACATCTCCCAAGTGGAAGAGCTGCGTGGCACAAACTTTGGTTGGACAGAAGGGCCTTGAAAGCCTTCTCGGATGCCTGTGTGGCATCGGCTGAACTGAACGACCCCGACCCAGCCTTGTCATACAATCAAGATTTGGCATTCTACGATCATAAGTGCAGTTATGGCATATGCAAATCTGCTGCACTGAACATGCACGCGGCCATCATGCCAGCGGCGGTTGCACCTCCATATAAACTCTATAACTGCGCGCGAGCATTTAAGCTCGACTGCATGCGCAAGGGATCTCTGAAACATGTGTACCGGGTACATGCCTTGCGAGACAACTCATCGTAGTTGCTTAAAGCTCTACATGCATATGAAGCATTGAAAATTTTGTAAAGCATCGATCACGAGTAAGAAAAGAGGCAAGAAATTCAGAACAATAATGTATATGGGGTCTCAACTAACTTTTTAGATTTTCTCGAAAGCCGGGTCAGGTATTCAGTCCGTCGACATGACTTGCAGCCGGCCGTGGCAAGCCTGCTGTATCGAGTACACAAGCTATGCCGGGTGCTGCATGGAGACCGCGACGCCGAGTGCTCCATGGCTCTAATGTGCCTAAGGGCGTTGGTGAAGGAGAAATGTTACCATCATTGCATGCTCAGTCGGGCCCCCGGCTATATATGCATACAATACAACTTTTGGCTGCATGCAATGAGGGCATGGTCATGCATGCAGCGCATGAGGTGCCAATAATTCGACAATGGTGCAGAGGCATAAGCACAGGTTAACAACAAGAGCTGAGCGCTAATGCGAGCAGTGTCGTACTGAGTCGGATAGGCCTGATGCATGTTCAGTGCATGAATCGGCCATGGTTCTTGATGTATCTCGCGACGCAATTGCACCATGTGGCGAACTTAACTTGGTACCACAAAATTTACCATGCAAGAGGGTGACCCTGAACAGGTTTGAGCAATCGCATGAGGGACTCACCTACCCACCAACACAATAATGACATGGAGGCGGCAGGAGATATTTGCCGCAAGTCATTGCCACAGCCGACCGATCCCAATTACGACAATAGAGAGCGTCCCTAGTGTGTCTGTACAAGTCAGCCGCCAGCCAGGCGCGGCCGGCGGCCGGGCGGGGCAGTCTCATGATCAGTGGGGAAAACCGACGATGCAGGTCGAGGCCGAAACACGCGCCCGAGGCTCCACCTGGCCAATAATGCCTATGCCGGCTGCCGAAAAACAGCCGTCGCTCCTCGCTCTCTCCATGCGCTACCCACCCTGCCCTAGCTTATTTGGCCCCGTGGCGCCCCGCGACCCTTCCGTTTGCGAGCCGCCGAGGGTCGGCCCGTTTGCGCTATGACTACTCGCGGCCTCCTCGAGCCGCCGCCACGTCTCTATCCGGGCGTCCTCCTGCGCTTTGGCCCGCCCCTCCTGCTCCGCAAACGCCCGTTGGCACTCGTCGTACAGCGGCTGGTCCATCTCCATGAACAGTTTCCGCACGTTCACCGTGAGCCCGTGCACGGCCGCGTTCCAGTGGTTGCGCGCGTTGCGCTCGAGCGCCCCGAAGATGAGCGGCAGGATGACCTGCCGGTTCTGGCCCACCAGGCTCACGATGTAGTCGTTGTTCCACAAAAACAGCGCTCGCTCCGCAACCTGGCACGAGAGGCGGAGGGGGTCAGGCTCATAATCAGCGTAATCACAACGTCACTGTGTCTCTCTTGGTCGATTTCGTATGAGTGGAAGGACGCCCACACGGTTCGTCTCAATAATGATAAAGTGAGGCTTTATTAGGTAATCGATTGGCAAGACGATGGTGCTGGTCAGAAATCTATTGAAATTCTCCCAATCAGAGATGCGAGCTGTTCAGGCAGCTCGCTGGCGGAAGAGGACATGATCTTGGAGAATCTTGCTGCCTGCGACAGGTTCGCAGCGATAAAGCGCCAAATGAACCCGAAAGTGGGAGTTCCCACTCTTTCCAAACCCCAAACTGTACCTCCATCCCCAGGATGCGCTTACCTGGAAGGTGCGAGCTTCTAGGCAGCGCGCAAGCTGGCGCAAGAGGTGGAAGTCCGCAAGTCCGATGCCTGCACTTTGAAACCCGAAAGCGCCAAGCAAATCCAAAAATAGAGATCCCCACTCTCTTCAAACCTCAAACTCGAAGAACGTTCATCCCACAAGGAAGAACTTCCCTCCTCACCTGGAAGTGCGAGCTATTTAGGCAGCGCGCGAGCTGGCGGAAGAGGGGGACCATGATCTTGGCGAACTCTGCTGCCTGCGTGAGCTCCAGGATCTCCTCCAGCTCGCTCAGGAAGAGGACCTCCTTCTGGCTGCTCGTGATGGGCCAGTACTTGAGCAGGCCCTTTATTACCACGTCCGCCAGCTTCGGGTCCTTCTCCACGAACTGGGTGATGCAGTACGACAGCTGCACAGGAAACGAGGGTCAGATATTGCGTGCGCAAATGGGCGTAATTTGGGTAATTTGGAAATTGGTTTGAGGAGTGTTTGTAGCATTGAGTGTTTCTTCCAGATCTGGATGATGGAGTACGATTCACGACATCCATTCACAATTGAGCAGACAAGGGTCAAAAGTTGCATTTACTTTGGGCTTGGATTTGATGATTTCGCTTTCAGGGAGTGTGCATGTGCAGTTTCCGAACTTTTCCCACGACCTGGACGATGCAGACCGACCGCTGCTCGTCCTCTGCTTTGGACGACCCACATCTATATTGCTAGAAGATCAACCCTGATCAAATAAATGCCTAAGCTACCCCTCCCTTGACCCTAGATTCAGCAATCCAAAAATCCTAATGAATCCTACCTGCTGCAAATATATGAATATGCAACTTTAGCTTGTGCAGCAGCGCGCGCGTGAGGAACTGTTCGTACTCCTCATTTGAAAATAATAACTGGAAAAAGGTAGAACATCAACAATCATGTTAACCCAGAAGCTCCCAAGCCCCGCACCTGCTGCTGGTACATGGACATGCACTTGGGCTTGTGCAGCGGCAGCAGCGCGCGCGTGAGGAACTGCTTGTGCTCCTCCTTGAGCGGCAGCGCAAACCCGTTGATGATGCTGCCCAGGATCTCCAGCAGCTCCGCGATCCCGTTGTGCCGCTCCGTCTCGAAGATGAACCGGTAGAAGATGTTGTTGATCGCCTTGCGGATGAACGGCCGGTGGACCATGAACTTGCCTGCGAGGGTGTAGGGCTATTCATTAGAGTGCTGTTGACTTGCGTTGCGACGTTGTCAGATCTGTGCGCCAAGTTCTACTTAAAATCGCTTGCTCGTTGTGTAGATGAACATTCCCGAGTTGTTGACTTAGCGAGCGCAGTGGAAAAATGGGTCCAAGAAACATTTCTCAGGCTTGACTGGAAACACGATAGCAAGCCTAAGAAATGTACTATGACAAGAGCTTCCATGTTTTGGAACAACCCTAACATCAAAGGAAAGCGTTATGGAGAGAACGCGCCACAAGCGCGTGGGCTTCGCTATGGCAGACGTAGGGGACGGCATCGAGGCAAAACTGCTCTTCTTGGACGAAAATCTCAAAGTCCTGAAATTGCTGAACGTTGACCACATGCAGGTCACTCAAATTCCTAGGCCAAGACCCTGAAAGTACTTCCGAGACGGGGCGGAACTTTACCATAGATGCGGTGGAGAATGGTCTTGAGGTAGTCACGCTCGCGGGGGTCCTCCGAGTCGAAGAGGTCCAACAGCCGCAGCACAAACGCGTGGTCGATGTAGCGCTTGGCCACCTTGGCGTCCGTCTCGCCGGACACCACGTAGCGCAGCAGAAACTCGTACACCTGGCGTCCAAAGACTGGTCAAATGAGTACTATGGATCGAGATGACAGATGTACGATACGTTTCAGTGCCCTTGCAAGCAAAAAACGCACAACTCGTGAATCTGTATCGCTGGACACCACTTGTGCAGCAGAAACTCGTATACCTGGCGCAACAAGACTGGTCAAATGAGTACTATGTATCGAAATGAAGAATTAACGGTACGTTTCATTGCCCTTCCATGAAAAAGTACCGCAAGATTGTCTCGCGGACACCACAGAGGGCAGCAGAAAGTCGCACACTTGGCACACAAGGACAGGTCAGGGAGCGTCATAAACCTGGCGTCGAAAGACAGGTCAGAGAGTGTTGCGAACCAGGACGCAAGAATGGTGCGATCCATTTCCATGATGCGATCGTTCCTATCCGGAGCACACCAGACTTTCGTACATGAAAAGCGCATTGAGGAAGTCACTCGATACTCCAGAGGACGTATGCTGCTAATGCAAATTGTGTCAAACTGCAGAGGCAACAAAGCCGCTCTGGAGGTCGGATGCTGCATAATGCAGCAGACTCTTACACCTGGCAAGAGCAAGCGCCAGAGAGCATGTGAGGGGTAGTATTGGTGGACTTGGTAATCATTTTGAGTCCTGATCGAGGTATCCTTCTGAAAGCGTCCTTGCGATCTGTGATAAGGGGACAGAAGCACGGCACAACTCTCTCGCAAGCAGTCAAAGAACTCGGTTTGCCAGAAGTGTAGCGAATTTAGACGATTGCATAAGTGCAAAGTCCTCAACGGCTCAGAACAGACTCCAAGAAATCCTCGTAGCTCCTAGTGACAAGAACATGCACTCAGAGCTGTTCAACGAAGGCAGCAAAACATACGACCACTTATCCCCATGCAACAGCTCGCAACCCCGCTCGAAGAACACCACCCCTAGCTTGCAGTCTTGCGTGTGCACGCTCTTCTTCTGTTCAAAATCCACTTTTCGGAAACCCAAACCCTGAGACTCACAATTTGGAGGTGTGGCCACGCGGGCTCCATCGACGGCTCCTCCTCCTCCGGGTCAAAATTGTCAACATTCGCGCTGTTCTCGTGGCTGGACGGGGGGAGCGTGCGGAACAGGTTTGCAACCAGCATCTGAGTGATGTCCTCAAAGACGGCCTCATTAAACTTGCCCGTCCCCGAGTTGACATAGTCCACCAGCTCCAGCAGCGTCAGCCGCTTCATCTCCTTCTCGCGGACGTTCTTGGTCGGATCCGAAAAGTCGAACCTGGGAAGTAAAAAGAGCTCCACTCAGTATCCTGGTCTCAGAATGTGAAAGACAAGAGTCGACCACTAGCACTGGCTGTAACAGCTCCGACAATTTCAGATCACGTTCAGAATCGTTTTAATTGAACCCAAGAGCACTCTGACAAGGATTTCAAATTTCGATGATGCCAAGAAAAGATCAGTGCAATCACGGATGGCAAGAACGAATTGAAAGTTATTCAAAGACATTTTCGTTCGTGTGGCAGAAAAGCGGGCGCAGATGGCCACAGATTGGCGTTGTAAAGAGTGCAAAGCGCTAGCTACACTGATGAGGACAAGCCCGCGCTCCACTCACGTGTAGCAGCAAAGGCGGAGTTTTTTGGCAAAGAGCTCCTGGCGCTCCGAGCTGGGGACGTCCCGGAAGGCCGGGAGGGGCTCCGCGAATGCGGCAGCGATGGTGGCAGCAGAAGCATTGGAAGTGTTGCCTGAGAACGAGCTGCTGCCAGCCTTGTGCTGCTGCAGGATCGCCCCCACTACCGACGACTGCCGCACGATGGGGCCCCCCGAGCCGGAGGGGCTGGCAATACTTCGGCCTGCAGATGCGAAAGGGGGGGATCAGACATTTGATGATAAACAGGGGGGGTGAGGAACTGCGATCACTCTGCTGCACGATAGGGGACCCGAGCCAAAGGGACTGGCAATGCTTCGGCCTGCAAATCGAAGCGGGGGGGTCGACCTCTTGGCAACGAGTAGGAGGGGGGACGAACTGCAGTTGACAAAGGAGGAGGTCCTACAAGATACGTGCTTGGTCATAGTTCGGCCTGCTAACACAGAAGGAGGGGTTGAGAGATGGAACATGAGAAGAGATGGTTAGTGCACTTTGATTGCTGATCTTAAAGCAGTGGTCTTTCCAGCTGCTAAATATGCCACGTAATGTCCCCTGATGCTTAACAGGGCACTCTGGTACAAGGAGGGGGTTCGATGCTGTCGGGGTGTTAGCATTTGCGGAGGAGCAGTCAGAGAGAACCTGTGCGACATGCCCTTGAGAAGCTTGTGATCCATAGAGCATCTGAGGAACCCCAAAAAGGCCCGAGAGAGTGCAAAAAGAATCGACTTGACAGTACAGAGAAGACAACACGCCGAAGCGGGGGGGACACGGAACGACTGTATCAAGAGTAATGGAAGAGTTGCTGCCATTTCCACTGGCGCCTATTTGCAAGAATCACTGGTAGAATTTGGAAGGTGTATGACATAACTTTCTGTGTGTGTAGTGTCTGTCAGGAATGCAGCCCGCACACATTGGCGGCATCCTGCGAGTGTTGTGGATCGATGTCAGGATTCACCAGAATTCTTTGACAACGTAGGAACCAGAATCTGTTGGCCTCCTCGCATCAGCCACCAATGACCGGACTTGCTTTGCGTGTGGTCCGGGCTAACCAAAAAGGCTATTCGAAGCAGAGGAACAAGCAGACTGGAGCCATCAGGCTGCAATCAGGCAGAAGTTGCATCTGTTGGGCGAGGCAAGCAATCGTGACCAGGCTCCAGAGGCGCGAGCAATCAAACCCTATGTTACAGTGACGCAAACGCAGCTTTCCTACTTCTAGACTATGGAATAGGTAGCAACTTTTAAGAACTGCCTAGGGTTCCTCGAGAGAGAGATTGGAGCACCCGCTGCTGAGGGAATGTCATCATGCAAAGCCTCTTCCAAGATGAATTTCACACTTCTGGTGGCATTACAGGCGCCAATAATCGCACAAGAACTTGACCCTAGAAATTTCAAAACTCAGTTCTGCTTTCATGCAGCAACTATCAGATTACCTACAAGTTGCTTACAGCTGCTGTCTCTGACAAAGAATTCCAGATCACCCTGACAATGCTCCCCCTGCAACTGGCCTGTGCGCTTTTCCTCCGCACTTGACACTCTGCCTTTGCAGCTTCACCGACTTCACCATCATTGATCCATGCAACATTCTCAGAGGAAGAATGGGTAAAGTATCCGAGAGCTGTGCACAAACTGAGAATGCAGGATTTTGAATCCTTGAAGATGTTCATGCAACCAAATGAGGTCAGTCTTGCAGAACCTCAAGAAAAGCACAGACCAAATGCAGTTTCTTGCATCCTCGTGCAAGACTCTGTCGACGGTCCACACAGGGGCCCTACTGACTTGTCGCATTGTATGTCACTCTCTGCACCCCTGATTGTGAGCAATCCATCTACACGAAGATGGTTTCTATGAACAAGAAAGAGTCAGAAGGATGGCCACCAACCTGAACCTGTGGCCGCAACACTGCCTCTCCCTGTTCCAGCTCCCATGGTTGGCGCACTGCCCTTATTCGCACCTACTACAACTGTACTAGGAGCTACATCTACCGGGAGACCATCCTTGGAAGGGTCTGCCTTGGCGCGGCCACCCTTCAGCTTTTTCTTGACGCTTTGGAGCATGCCGCTTGACTGCGAGCAATCCCAGTCCCTGCCGCAGGAATCTGGGAGTCGGGGTCTGCAACCGAGCTAAACTGGTACATTCATAGGGTTTCGACCAACGCAAAGGTCCAATCTAGGAGTCTGTCAGACAGGAAAGTGCAACCTAAAGGACAAGACATGCAAAACAAAGGCCTTCTTCAGAAAGAGCTTGGGAATTGGGATGACTGCTCGAAGTCGTGCTTGGGTGGTTTAACTCTACCCTGTGGCCGCGAAGGGACAGACCAGCACCAGTCCCAGAATGGGCTATGCTGACCCGCAATAGTGCAGGATCATGAAACTTGTGCACCTGCCCGTTTCTCTGGTAAATGCTTGCGCTTCCTGGGCAGCTTCTGAACTTTTAGCGCCGTGCAAGTCCCTCAAACAAGCGTGTCTCATTCCCCCTTGCACAGCAGCAAGAATTACCTAAAGGCTAAACCAGCCAACACTGGCAGACAAGCAATATCCTCTGGTTGCCTCCGGGCCCAACGCCTACTCCTTCCCTACAAAGGTGTGCCGGTGTCCATTTCAGGACCATGGCGACAAATTCTTCTCTCTGCTCTCCGCCCTTTTCGCCTGTCACAGTCTTGACTTGGCGTGACCATGTCACATATTTATGTGTGTTGAATGTTTCTGGGTTTACGCTTTGATAATTTGGACTAACAAGCGACGCCCTCGATTATCTCATCGACGGTTGAAAAAGCATCTATCTCACCAAACGTGCATATCGGACGCCGCAGAGGAGCCCTTCTTGACATCCAACGGCTTCGGCTGCGCCTGGCTGCGCCTTCTTCGTCCGGCACCAGCACACGAGTAAGTACGTAGGTACATGCAAAATTCCTTGATTCGATGGTCTGCAAATTCGGGCAGCATCCATGGCTGCAAATGTCATTAGTTGTTCATCTGAGCACTGCATGTAGGAACAGTCCTGCACATCCTTCGGATTCCTTCCTAGGCCCTTCAAGCGCAATGCAATCTGCAGAAACCAGCTGCTGATGCAAACAGTGGCAGTTTCCTGATCAGCCGGCTCCATTAGCTGGGACGACAAATCGCCCCCGGTCCCCCCTGCACGCAGTTCCACGTAGTTGAGCTGCAAAACCTGCAAAGGAGGAGCATGCTGTTGTTCTACCTGTGAGTTATCACCTGGTGCGCCAGTGATGGGTTCTGTACCGCAGCGGCGCGCGATTGAGTGGGGCGGCAGTCTCCTCCGCTTACAGAGGCACAGGAGCCGCCGGGAAGGGGTTTTTCTCGCCCGCTCGTTCTCTGCGCACGGGGATGGCGAGAAGGCGCAGAAAGGCGCTTCCTCGCACTCCGACCCCCGCAACTCCTCCTGCTTCGTCGACGGCCTCTCCTCTCAAAGCATTCTATCGAGCGCTGCATTTAGTGCAAAAGACGTCACCTCTCCTCCCAAGTTTCCGGGACTGAGGGGCCATGGAGACTGGGGCGAGAGGGGCGGTGCCGGCCCCCTCAGAGACAGCGCGTCGAAGCACCGGGCGCAGAACCGGCTCCTCTGCTTCCGCTGTGACGCGGAGCTCTCGGCCCCTGGGGCGGGCGACATCACGCCTGATGTCAGCTTCCACCAGACGCGGTTTCTGGAAGTCGGAGTACAGCCGACCGTCCTCTGGTGCAAAGCCTGCCGAGAAGTGCACCTTTTCAACCCCGTCGTCCGGCCGTTCGCCACCCCCGTGACCTGGGTCCCCGGGGGGGCGTCCCGTCACTCCCAGCTGCCCATCCTAGTTCCCGCCAGCAAAGCGCCCAGCCCCGCGCAGCACCGAGACAGTGCGCCACGTTCTCCAGCAACGAATAGCGAGAGTTTTTCGGACGGGCGGGGTCCGCCCCCGGCTTGGCAAACGAGCTACCAGAGCCAGTTGGTACGACCAGTGCCATCGATTGTGATGCAACCCTCGCAGGGGTCTCCAATTCTGCCTGCCGTGGGGGATAGGCCGGGGACGTACTTCAGCGGGGGCGGCAGCGGGGGGGGCCAGGAACCCCCCGGCGGCGATCGGTGGAAGGATTTCAAGCTGGCGACCCCTAAGCAGATTGTCGCGGACCTGAACACTTTTGTAATTGGGCAGGAAAATGCAAAGAAGGTGGGTTTGGGTGGGTTGGGGCCACTGGTGGGAATAAGCCCAAAGCCTACATGCAGAGAAGCATAAAGAGGGTATGGAAGCTGCTGCAAACTGCAGAATGGACTCCCTGAGTGCTGGGCCAGCCTATGCGGCTCAACATTTGTGTTGAGGGTGCTGAACAGGTGTCGGTTGAGAAGGTCAAAAGTATCGAGGATTACATGATGGGATGAGGAATGCAAATGCATGATAGGAATGAGGAAGTTGGAGGATTGCGAAGGGGAAATGTTGAATTGAGATCAGCGGGGATATTTCTGGACATTGACACGGCTCCGTCCGTATTTGTTTGCAGGTGTTGGCAGTACAAGTGTACAACCATTACAAGGTGAGGCAGCATTCTAGCATGGCAAAGCTTGATTGCCTTCCATTGATCCAGAGCCCCGCACTGGTTGCGCATCTGTTGTGGTGAGAACAGATGGGCAAGAGAGTGAGTCAACTGTCATTTCAATCGCTTCATCCATCTCGATGCCCATATCGTCACAGCTTGAGCTTGAGCCTTAGTGCAAGCTTCTTCGCTGACAAGTGCCCCGCAAGTAGTATTTCCGTGAATCAAGTGAGCACGGCACTGCTGAATACAGCCCGCTTGGTTCTCTTTTCACTGTCAAGTATGGAGTTTGCTCTGTGAAACCGAGAGGCCACTCGCGCTTGAAAGTACTCAGAAGCGAAGACCTATTTTCCTGTGCCGAAAACCAGGCTATGTAGGTACATAACGCCAGCATACCAAACGTTAAACTCACCATCATCTTCACTCTTATGGAGTCGCCTTCTTATCACTGAGCCACTCACTGTCTGCAGCGGGTCTTCTTCGAGGACCAAAAACGCGAGCGGGCGAAGAAGGACAAGGGGGATCCCCCCCCGTCAACGTTCTCCACTTCAGGGGGGCCCGCGGGAGTGTCCGGCTCCCCCACCTTCACTAGTTCGTACCACCCCCCCACTTACAACACGTCTTACCGGGGGGCGCCGGACGCCTTCTCGGACCACTCGTCGCACGGGTACAACCGTCCGAAAGATCCGGACTTTTATTCGTCGCCCCCCCCGGAGGCGCGGCCCGCACCGGAGCGGTTTGGGGCGAAGGAAGAAGTTGTCGATACGGAGGAACAGGCGCTGGACGAGGAGGTGGAGCTGGAGAAGAGTAACGTGCTTCTGATGGGGCCGACGGGGTCAGGTAAGTGGTTACAAAGTTGGTTTAGACTATTGGGTTTTGGTGGAGCTGGAGAAGAGTGACGTGCTTCTGATGGGGGCCAACGGGGTCGGATAAGTGGTCAAAGTTTAACCTGCTTGGTTACGAAGTCGGTATAGCTTTTCGATATGACAAGTTTTCGTTGGACAAGGGCGATGTGCTTCTGATGGGGCCCCCTGGTTCCGGTAAGTGTCTGAAACAAAAGGTACTCACAATAGAATCGAAATACACCGGTTTTGGGGATGAGGCAAAGCTGCTTGGTCAGCGGGAGGTTTTGCGAACATTAGAAGGTAGAAATGATAAAGCGAGGGGGTTGGGTGAGCCGCGAATCGAGGTTGGTTTCCGACCGGTTTGGACTGTGAGGTGATCAAAGTTGCTGGACGAATTGTAGCTGCTCGGTTCGTTTCTGGAAAATGAAAAGTTTTTGTGGCCATTGCGGGTGTTGCCCTCTGATTTGGACCACCATATCGCTTTAACGAAGTATCCATTCCCTTTGTCTGCTGTTGCAACGACCAAAGTGGGGGACTGGAGCCCATAAACTCTCAGGAGTCGCTGCGGCATGCCACATGCTGTTGGAGGCCCGCAATATTTTAGAAGGTAGATTCTCAATCAGTCTCTATGCAGAAACAAGCAATTTTTGAATACAAATTCAGCGGCAGAAGAAACGTCGCAGTGACGGTGCTGTAAGTCTGTAGGCCACCCCCTGACTGCTTTCCCGATCTCGTCGTTGCAGGCAAGACGCTTCTTGCCAAGACGCTTGCGAAGCTGATGAACGTCCCGTTCACGATCGCGGACGCCACAAACCTGACCCAGGTGAATGCTCAACTTCGGACCCCCCCAGATCAGTAAAAGTAAAATTGATGTTCGTCCAGAAATTCACCTGCTCCATTCGAGCCCACTCTCGGCCCCCTTACTAACTCTATCCGTCCCAGGCTGTGACCTTCTGTTCCTCCTGCTTTAACACCTGAAATGCATACGTAGACAAGATTCAGGGGTCATGTGAGAGTGCTTCAACGACTCCGGTCGAGGTGTTCTCGCTGATAATCCCACTTGACTGTCGGTCTTCGAAATTTGCGTGCTTGAATCTTATGCACGCTTCCTTTGCCAGGACCTCATAAGAGTGTGTGCAGTTGAGCCAGTGTTAAGTCCCAAACAAGATTCGGGAAAACATTCTGTACGTGTATGCATGGCCTACAAGGAGCAAAAACACTGAAGATAAGATACGCCAGTAGTGTAGCAGGAGACCAGGACGTGTGGAGCATCTTGTGCAAGCTGGAGTGTTCTTTGCTACATAATTGAAGGAAGAAAGTCGAGCACTTTCTCACAAAAACTAAGATAAGAGAAGGGAAAATCAAAGAATGTCGAAACCTGTTCGCATTGCAGGCGGGGTATGTGGGCGAGGACGTGGAGAGCATATTGTACAAACGTGAAGAACGGATCCAGAAGATTGTAAATGGGGGAAGGAAAGTATGAGAACAAGAAAAATCGGAGAACGCGCTTTATTTGCAGGCGGGGTACGTCGGCGAGGACGTGGAGAGCATTTTGTACAAGCTGTTCCAGGAGGCCAATTACGACATCCCGCTCGCGCAGAAGGGCATCGTGTATATCGACGAGATCGACAAGATCACCAAAAAGGCCGAGAACATGAGCATCACGCGGGACGTGTCCGGCGAGGGGGTGCAGCAGGCGCTGCTGAAAATGCTGGAAGGCACGGTGAGAGGGACGGAACTCTGTGGGGATTCTTTTGACTGTTCATGGGTCCCCTTTTGTCGCGCTATTTCCCCTTGTTATTTGCCTCTTGTTGCGCTGTTTCCTTGTCGCTATTCTCGGTTTTCGAGACCAGTCACAATGGAAGGCACGGTGAGACGAGGTTTAGAGTCCCAGGATCATGAGAGGGCGTGACACATTGATGTTACTCGATCGTGGCTGTTTTGAGTTGCGCTTCCGAGGTGGTAAATTTTAGTTGGCCTCTTAAAACTGCTCGAGGACACTGTGAGCGGAAAAGGAAGAGGAGGGAGGTCATTGCGTTATGATGCATTCTTCTCTTCCGAGGTCCGCGTCGACTGCTCTCCGGTGCTTCGGACACTTCTAGTGCTTCATACCATGCGATTGGGTGAATGGTCCCAATTCTAAGACCGACGTTCTATTCATTCAGGTGATGAACGTGCCGGAGAAGGGGGGGCGGAAAAGCCCGCGCGGCGAGTTTGTACAGGTAAGGAGCATCGCGGAATGTATGATAACTTATGAAAATGTAACATACGGACATTCTAAGGTTCCGCTATAGCGCAGCGGTTGGAGGTGGGCACAAAAGCATAGTGGCTCAAGCATTGCATCCCAGCCCCCGTAGGTGCACCTCGCCGGACGCCTCTTCTCTGCCCCTTTCTGGTCAGCGTCCGATACGTGTTTGCGGTTGTTGAAATTTGCTGCAAGTGTACGGTGGTAAGGCCGCTCGGAAGGCACGCATTCAATCTGGACAAGCATCGAAAGCCCCTTGGTGGTTTCTAACTGTGGCCTTGTGACATCGCTGCAGATCGACACTCGCGACATCCTGTTCATCGTGGGAGGGGCCTTCGTAGATTTGGACAAGATCGTTGCGGACAGGTGAGCTGTCTTTTGGACACTGTCCGAAACTCCATAAGGTTTAAAAACTCAAATACCGTAAAGGTCACGAGATTGGGGCGGCAACGAGCTGACAACATCTTCCAGCGCAGGGAGGTGACCACTTGCCCGTTTTGCACCGAGTGTTTTCTTTTCCCCCCACGTACGTCTGGGGTGTCCGATCCAAAACAGACGTCTGCTCCTAATTGGGGAAGAGGCAAAGCCGACGTGGCAGTGTGTGCCTCGCCTATGTTCGTGACCGCACATTACGACCAGCTCTCATCCTCACAAGTCGACCAAAGAAGGCACGAAACCGATACGGACCTTGAGATTCCGAGATAAGAAAGCAGCAGATGGTTCATCTTGCCCTCCGTTTCCGGCCAAGTCTCGTGAATCAGACCTCGTTTTAGGAAACCGTTCCTCAAAAGAGGGTTCAAAGCTGACAATCTCAAACAGGCGGCTGCCGCGTCGATCCTGTTTGGGGCCCTGGTTCTGGAGCAGGTAAAAGTTTCGGGTGTAGAGATTGTCATACACGTCGAAAGTCGTTGTCGAAAGTCGGTAATAACAGGTGCGGAGCAGTTCAATTCCGGGTTAAGATTTTTGTCATCGGTTGAAAGTCACCACCTTCTTGCTTATCACTTCAAAGCTGACAGAAAGGACCCGCTTCTCAAACAGGACGGCTGCCGCGTCGATCGGGTCTGGGGCCCCGGTGTGGAGCAGTTCAATTCCGGTTTAGGATTTTGTTTCCGGTCGAACGTTATCATTGCAAAGCTGACAGTAAGGCCCCGTTTCTCAAACAGGACGGCTGCCGCGTCGATCGGGTTTGGGGCCCCGGTGCGGAGCCAGGACCCGCACGCGCAGGACGCCGCCACGCGGGCCAAGCTTCTGGAGTCGGTGAGTTCACCCGGGCCTTAACAGCGGGCTCTGAAAACAGGGTTTGAAACCGGGTTAAAAGAACCCGACTTGGGTCTGGATTCAGAAAGAGGGCTTTGAAGACAGGGTTTGAGATCGGGTTCAAGGATCTGCTTGGGAATCCGAGTCCAACAACACTGTATACTATTGACTCGCAACACTTGGTTTAACGCTTCTTGGTTCTGCGGTACAAAGACTGTGTGACGTCTCTCGTTGTCAGCACAGTAGTCTGCTGAACCAGTGAATTACGATACTCCCGAGCAGAGTTTGTAGGGGCCGCCCGAATCTGATTTGCGTTGCTCGTGGAAAACCGACAGACTTGAAGCCAACGAAAAATGCAGACGTTCAGCCCATCAATTCCGCGACCAGTGTGGCTCATTGCTCGGGCTTGTCAGCTCATCTGCTTACATAATTGGAGCAACGCTCATCGAGCAAGGAAGATGTGAACGAGGGCTGCAATTTCGATACGACATCCCTGATCGCTAATTCCGATCGATGTAGTGAACAGTAACAGCCAGTGAACAGTCACGGGGACGGGTAGGGTTACTTAGGGGGGTAGGGTGGGTACGGGTGCGAAGCGGGTGATCTTTTAGGTCAGGGTTTTTAGTAACCCAAAAATGCTTACTGTTCACTGGGCTTGCTGCTCACTCGATCGAGAAATACTGAACACTGCCGCTCTGCGTGCAGGTAGAAAGCCGGGATCTGATGGCGTACGGCCTCATCCCCGAGTTCATCGGACGGTTCCCAAACGTCGTCAGCCTGGACGCGCTCACAGAGGACCAGCTGGTGCAGGTGGGCTTTGCCTTCCAGCTCGTTCCAAGGTTTCTCAAGAACAGGAGACCCCGCAATTGACTCCGAGTTTCAGGAGCGCAGATTGGAGCACGGAGCGGAGCACAGCAGATGGCGGAGCGCCAGACTGCATCGCCCTTATCAAGCTTCGGAAGCCCATCGAACGCGCAGGTTTCATGGATCTGGGCCGTTGCTTTCGGTGGATGTTTAGGTGTTCTTTTGCCCCCCCTGCCGCCAGTGGTGTTCCGCCCTTCTCCCCCCCACCCCTGCTTTGGTACCAGCGCCGCTTTGCCTGTTTTCTACTTTCGCCCCACTGCTGGTGCAAGTGCGGCTTCACCGTATCATCGTGTCGCCCCTGCTGCTAGTGTTGTTCAACTATTTCCAAGCTTCTGCACTTTGCTGCTCTTATGGCAGCTTGAACTCGGTTCCAGTGGTCTCGCATCTGAGTAGACTGATCAAGCTATACTTGACTGGTCGATTTCCACACCTCTATTCTGCTTCTTTTCTTTGCTGACGTTGGTTTGACCTCACAGCGTGTCCAGTCAGCTCATATGAGATGTCTGCATGCCAGTGCTACCTTCTTTTGAATCTGGTGAAAGTCAAGCTGAGTTCCTGCGGCTGTCCCACAACTGCCAAGCTCGCGAGCTTCGTATTCTTGGTTCAAGTCACGCATGCACACTTCTGCCCATGGTTCGTTTGTTGAATGACGCGGAAATCTATGCGTGACTATTTTGAAGCATATCCACTGGTTCAGACGACGACAGGTGGGCCCTCCGATCACAATCTACGCAGACTCATCTCCGCGCACGCTTTCCCAGTTCTTGGTTCAGCCGCGGAACGTGGTGCGATGCTGCGAACGGAGAATCAAAACCGACGAAGTCTTTACGTTTTCTCGAACACAAGCTTTGTTGAAACAAACAGGTCAAATCAGACTTATCCTGCATAACAATCCTTGTCTGGTCTTAATCCAGGTGTTGGTCCAGCCCAAGAACGCGGTTGCGCGGCAGTACCGCAAGATGCTGCGAATGGAGAACGACGTGGTGCTGCACTTCACCGACTGCGGCCTGCGTGCGATCGCCAAGCGCGCCATGGCGCTCGACACTGGCGCGCGCGGCCTGCGCAGCATCCTCGAGAGACTGCTGCTGGAGCCCATGTTTGAGGTGGGCTTTGGAATCCTTTTGTGTGTTGTCGTTTTCCGTGTTTCTTTCTTTCTTTGAAAGGTCTGGCTTGAAAGGCTTCACGGTTACCTTTATGGGGCTTGCCAAGCGCGCTCGATGCGGGCGCGCGCAGGCTGCAGAGCATCCTCGAGGGACTCCTGCTAGAGCCCATGTTCGAGGGGGGGTTTGGGAATCCAATCTGGTTGAAGTCGCTTCTCTTCAAAGATTTCAGCTTCATCAGTCGTACAGCGGGATCCTGAGAGGCTATTATGCAAGCGCTCGACATGGCTATGCGCCGCTTGCGCAATCGTCTCAATAGACTGCTACCGAAGCCCATCTTCGAGGTGCGTCTTTCAGAAGCAAAAGTCAGATCAGTTCAGCGATGTTACTGTCGTCATCATTCCAGGGAGACCATGTATCCCAACGTGTCTGTCTGCTCTGAAGAAAGTGTTCTTCCCCGCACACGTTTCCGCCAATACTGAGATTGCGGCCATCGTGCTTCAAAAAATGGGGCAAAACCCCTTCGTGCAACGTGTCCATCTTCCCATGCCACGTGTCCTCTCTTCACAGGTTCCTGACGATGCTGAGATCACGGCCATCGTAGTGGACGCGGACTCCGTCCCCCAAGGTAACGACAAGTCGCGGGGACCCATCATGTTGCGGGGCGAGGGCGCGCTGGACAGGTGGCTTCACGAGCACGGCCTGGTGAGCAGATATGGGCCGTCCGATATCTCGCTCACGTTCATCATGTGGCTCTGCTTGCAATTTCTGAATTCTTGCCTTCACAACGACAGGTGCCTCTCGACTTGGGCCGGCAGGCAATCACTTGGGACCGTTCGACCATAGGGTGTGGATCGCCCAAGCTTGTTTGATGTTTGTCTCTGTCGTCAGCAAGCGCCACGGACGCTTCGCTTGTGTTGAACGTGTTGGCGTCTTTGGGTCGGCTGAGGGCTTGGCTAACGCACCGCTTGCTTCATCGATGGATAAAAAGGGCTATCGCGCGTTGGCAGCCGAGTGCCAATGAAGATGAACGGTAACTGCTCGAGCCTGGGCTTGCGACTGTCCTTGGTCTAACAACGACAGAGTATTTAGATTGCGCGTCGACCGAAAACTCACCTGGTCTCCAGTGTTGCCTTTGTAGTACCGAGAGGTAGGAGGTACGGTACCTGTCATGCCATATTATTCCTTTGGTATGTACCTTGGTATACCACGTGGACCTGCAAAGCCATCCGACTGGCTGTGAAAACTCAAAAGCCTTTTGCAGCTTTTCGGTCGACGCGCATCCTTAGCAGAATTGCGGACCGATCCAGTAAGGTCGAGCGTCGCTAAAGATCGATACTCCCGTCTTGCAGCCGAGTGTTTCGAGAAAGGCGGAGAGTGCCGACACGCAACCGCACCCAGAAGCGCACCCGGAAGAGGAGGAACACGAGGAGGTTCCGTTAGCGGCCGTCGGAATGTAGAAGACACGCGAGCATAAATCGTTGCATCACTGGAGTTCGGAAGCGAGTGACAGGTGGCAGATAATCTAGGTATCGGTCAGCACCAGTGTACAGTCTTCCGGGAGTCGCTCGTGTGATACCCCTTAAGTCCGGTGGAAAGCTGACAGAGGTGTGCGAAGATTGTGGGTTTGTACATACATGTCCCAAGGTAATCAGTCAGGTGTTGATTCCGCACAGGGCTAGACACTTTGTTGGCAGGGCTAGCACCTCGTTTCAACTTGTCCTACTGCATCCCCCATGCTCCGCTTGTCCGGGCGTGTATGGAGCAGTAGATGGAAGGTAGTGACGTTTCAATACTTCACCGTCATCAAATCATGTGCAGATTGTGCAACCTGCATTGCCAACTTCAGCTGTTGTCCGAGCTCCTGGCTCACGAGCGAGTTACTCGATACTTGCAGGCAATCGCATTTAGAGAAGGATATTGACCATGCGACAATCGTAACCCTTTTCATTCGTCGCTTACACTAAGTGATTCAAGCTAGCAAACGGACATAATGCTGGCCGCGTGCAACTCCATGCGTCGGTATGCAGACATGCATGCAGTACTTATATTGATCGCGCAACAGTCACTGAGTCAGCTTGGATACATTAGGTTGCACGTAATATTCTACTAGAGGCTAGCTATTGGCCCGGCACTGCTTAAATGACGTATACAACAAACTGTTCTACAGAATATATATCATGCTCACAGATTCTCAAATCCCACATTAAGCACGAACATATTAATCACGACCATATCATTCCGACTAGGTCATTGTGCTCTGGGCCAATATAAATCGGTGTCACTGAAGAATGGACAAACTGACAGGGGCTCGATCAATTCGTGGACCCCAAGTTCCTCAACGTTCATTGAACCCTCACGCGCAAACGGTCGCCCACAAGTGGACGCAGTGGCCACAAGTTTAGCCAGAGCAGATTGATTGTCATTTATATGCAAAGTGCAGGCCATGTGAGTAGGTAGATGACAAACGAGGCAGCTGCTGAATTGTACCAACCCATCTGCCTTGCAACCATTTGCACATGCATTTGATGCGTGGCATGGTCACAGACTTTCGACTTTCTGATTCACCAGTCTAAAGGAGTTCAACTCGACAAGGTCTGATGTGCTCCATCAATGGACTCTAGGACACTTGGCAGGAAGCCTGTCTTCAATGAAACACTTCGGTGCCAGCTCCGAATTGACAATTTGATACAAAAATCGTGACTATTAGCTTGCCAATCTGTAGATCTCATACGAATGTTGTGTGGCTGTAACAATGTCAGCTACCATGTGATCTGTTATTCAGTGTGCCAAGTAGTTTATGAGTGAATCTGTACTGCTCTAGCCTTGCTTTTGGGAATCTGATTTATCTACGGAGCAGATCTATGCTAAGAATCCTCCAGACAACTGCATCGCAATGCCAACGTCAAGCAAGCCATAAGGACACCCTTCAGGCTTGGCTGGGACCGGCTGATCACCTCACGCAATAAGGTTGCATAAGGTTGATGCACAGCTTACATTTGTTCGATGGTGTATGCAACTTGGATTTGCGTTGCAGCGGGCTTGACTACAAGATGCACGTCCAGCGGGCCTAGAATGTCAACTTCAGCGACGGACTTGTGCAATCAACCCGGCTGTATGCTGGGTGTTTTGAGGCGCTATGCTCGCACGCCGAATGATCTCTCTTGTAGTTGGTCTTGATGGGTGACTCCATAGCGAGCATAAAAAGCGGTCTAAAATACAAAGTGCATGTACAACCGCCAACTCCGAAGACTTGTGAGCAGCCCTTCAGAACTTTTTTCCCTTGCCCGTCAACCGTGCAGCGGTTGACGCCCCCGCCCCAATCGACAAGTCCCGCTCACTCTCCCCAGCCGAGGCCCCCCCAAAAAATCCCAATCCCGCTCCCACACCTTCGCCTCCAAGCCCCAATGCCAGCGCGGTTCCTGCCGCCCCCTGGCGCGACGCCGCATGCGAGTCCACCCGGATCCGTATCGGGAAGTCCGGGTCAAAAATGCCGTGCCCAAACAGCTCAGCTGCCAAGCTGAACCCTGCAAACGCGGTTGCGGAGCTCCATCTGTCCTTCCTTGCAGCCTGGACCGTCAGCCCCCCCAAGAAGGCCTGGAACGCCCACACGGCGATGGGCTTCGGCCGCACTTTGTGGGGGCGGACGGGACACCCTTCCTCGATGAATGTGACCAGGCGTTCGCTGATCTCCTCACTCTTTGCGGCGCGGCGCACTCGCGGCGCTCGCTCGAGAGGCGTTGGCTGGTCCTCTGAATCTTGCATCGCTAACCGCCTTTGATGTGATCAACAAAATGGAGTTGCTAATGTATGTGAAGCTGCAAGAAGTACTCCGGCCTGAGTCTGTCCTATCTTCAGCAGTGGTGGTGAGCTTCTAAGGCGCTGCATGCGGGAGCTAGTGGGGGCAATCAAAAAGAACGTTCGGAAGCTTGCAACTCTCTATCAGAGGAAGGTTTCGATCCTTCGACCTGTGGGTTATGGGCCCACCACGCTTCCGCTGCGCCACTCTGATTGATGGACGGGATTGGCCACAATTAAATTGATAAAATGTTTGTGCTACAGTACGGCTGCTGTAAAGCGCCCGCCGCTCGCGCGCGCCCAGGCTCCGCCGAAGCGCCACATCAATGAGATCCATCTAGTGACAGTGTTTCAGGAGGACGCCCTTCCAATGCCATTGAATGCAGCCAATGGGCTCATCCCCCGTCAGTCTTCTGCCGCCATGGCCCTGGGATAGTGAGGGACGCAATGCTTTCTGATCAGCACTGATTGCGATGTTTTGGCTGCGATGTCGCCTCCATTTTGTTGATGCTGGTGTATGTAGCAAAGATTAGGGTTTCGTCCTGACTGCCTCATTCAGAAGCAGCCTGCAATACATTCCAGGATTTTGATCTCACGAGGGGAAAATTGAACGTTGCCTAACCAAGGAGAATGCCAAAGGCCGCATTTCAAGCGTTCCTCGTTGAAAGAAGAGCATTTGCACTTGAAACCCTAATCTTGAAGATGCTCAGACCATGCCCTTGCTGAAATATTACCAACGTGTCCTGCTTCATCATCCCCCATGGAGAACCGTGCTTCTCCTGTGGCCCCAGCGTTCAATTACTCTGACCTGGACAGGGGCCTGCCACGTGTCAGCCAGGCACCCACCTTCCCAAGGCCCCCCTCGCAGCACAGAGAGCACTCTTCTGCTGGGCCAGACCCCCCCCAAGCTGCGCACACCAAGGCCAAGCCGTCCTCTAGGCTCGAGTACTTCTGTAAGGAGGTCAAAGCGGATGCAAGGCGAGCGGAGGAGTTGCGGAGGCATCGGAAGGAAGCTGAGCGCATCATGCTGTACAATCGGTTGGACTACCAGCCTTCAAAGTGAGCGCAGTTGCCAAATATTGCTAGGGGCTGCGGGGTGGGAGTCTGTTTGGCAGCTGCACAATGCTGTGGGTTGATCCATTCAATCAATGCAAATTGAGTCTCCTTGACGAGCGAGAGGTCAAGGACCTCAATGGGAGGAAGGTTGGAGCGCCCAAGGCTTTAAAGTTTGCAGTGTACAATGATGTGTACTGGCATCAGTGCAATGACAGGATTGGGAGAACAAGGTATTGATGACATGCTCCACTGGCTAGCGATAAGTGAGTTTGCAAAAAAACCTTTAGTGCAGAACTGCTGCTCAGCTGCCAGCTCATCCTGTCTGCCCCCTAGATCCCTGGTTCCACTTGTGTGCTTCATTGAGGCTTGCAAAGGGCAAACTCCAGCTCAAGCATCTTCTATTCAGATCACAACGTCTCAAAAAGGTCTCCCAAAGCCTGGAGTCAACACTGGCGGACAAAGTGGCCAGTGAAATTGTTCAAATGTCAACCAGTGCCGCTGCTCCCAGCTGGCACTCTCGGGATCAGAAAAGGAGATGTCCTGACCTCCGGAGGTTCTAATGCAGTACGAAACGATGAAACGTCTTCTCAATGCCGTTTGCACCAGCCAATCACCTCATTTATCCAGCTGTTGGATAGTCGTCTTACAATGGATCCAAAGGTCTCCTTTCACCCTCTTCTGCTTTATGTTCTTGAAGTAGAACATTCGGCTCTTGCTAGACTCTGCCTCAAGGTTCAGTCGAACGCGACAAGAAACGTCTCTGATCACCAATTTCTTTGCCCTTCAAAGGAGTCCACTGAAATCTGCAGCTGTCCTCTCAACGTTCAGCATAACGCCATCTAACCCTTGCTGAACCTTGTCTCCCCTTTTCCAGTCGTCACCTCTCACCTCTGCTTGCATATCTGTGGGCCGTTATTGGCTAAGGCTGCACTGTAACTCTTTCGCAGATCTCATCTCGAACTCAGCTCTCCGTGCTTTTTCTTGAGCCGTTCTAATCACGGCTGACCCTTGCTTAAAATTCTCCGATGCCCTCAGTCCGATCACTACATCACCTGAAGGGTGTCGACCGTTAAGCCCGCGTTTGCAGGTATCAGTCTTCGACTTAGCTTCTCATGTTCGTTCTCAGGCCATTCTCACCTATACCGCTCCTATACATATCTCCTCCCCAGATGCCACCTGTCCAACCTGTTCCACTACCTATGGGCCGTCAACTCCCAGGGCTGCTCATGTCCCGGCGTCCGGATTCCGGACACGCTCGCGATCCTGAACGGACGTGCGGTCAGTTGGTACTTCACGGGCGCCTCGGGCCGGCTCCTGCGGAAGAACTCCGACAAGCTTAAGCGCGCGCGGCATATCTTGTACGCAATGCTCCGGGGCCCGGAGAAGCACACGATGCTGGGGAGCATCAAAGCGATGCAGATCGTCCCGGATGAGTCGAGGTGAGGGTTGTTTCGGAGCGTGTTTGCATAGGCTTGCGTAAAGGTGACATGAATCAATCGAGGCACAGTCCGGGAGGGTGGTCCTTGAGCTTGTTTGTGACGGCTTGCTCAGAGGTTTGGTCGTGAGGATCTGGTTCTTACGTGATGTCGTAAAGTTGCAACGAAGGAGGTGAGAAGATGCGGAGGGGGTTGAGGATGCTTGCAATCTCCAGAACAACATTGGGGGCGTGTCAAAGGCCTGTGCGAACTGCATCTGGTGACAGCTGTGTTGGGAAGGCGCAACGAGGAAGTAGGAGCTAGTGACATGCCAGGATTCTCAACATGATCTTTGAACCGCCATTGCGGCTCCAGAACAAAGTGGGAGGCCATGAGAAAAAAGACTGGGTGATCAAGCCATATAGAAGACCTGCTTCCTGTGTCAAAGCCTACGTCCTTGCATCACTGCGAGAGCGGTTTGAACTTGAGCTATCTGGTTGTACGCGCACTGTGGAACACACTACTGAAGAGGTCCTGATCGACGGCTCCTGGGGCTTTCCTCTCAAAAAATCGCCCGAAACCCCCACATTTGAGCTCCCAAAACCCCAAAGTCGTGCCTTTGTGTGATCGCAGCGAGGAGGGCCTGACGGTGAGCCACCTGGACGAGCGCGCGCTGCGCGACGCGCTGATGGCGGGGTCCCTCTCGGACGGGCTGCTGCAGCGGTTCGTGATGCCATTTGGCGACAAGAACGTGCTTATTACCTGCTACTGGTACCCCAACTTCTTCTACATGGACCGCAGCTCCACCTTCCCGAGGTGAGTAAAAAGACACTTTACAACGCTAACCCCTAAGATCCTAACACCCTGAGAAGTACTTGGGACCCTAGGGCTTTAAAGGCCTCCCAAGCTTTTCTATATGTACCGCAGCTCCACCTTCCCCAGGTACGTGGACAAATGTTGTGAATACGAGGCGCTTTTGGGTTTCATTTGAAACGTCGCGTTTCAATGGCGGTGTGAAAACACATCGCGTTTTGATTGCTAGGCAAAGTCGTTCTTCTTTCTGGAAATCCGTAGCCTCTAAAGACGATCTTCGTATTGGCAGCTTGGAAGCTTGAGGTGGTCGAAAAGACTTGGCAAAAGGCAATTACACCCGCAGAAATCCTTTGAAAGGAACGGATGCCGGGCCGGAAAAACAACCGTTGGGTCACCGGTTCGACGAACGTAGGGTGACCGAGAGACAACGTAGAGAGTAGAGATGAGACAGCCTTTCTGCAAAACTTCCAAACAACATGGGACTGAGTCACAGCAGTGTTAGCAATGAAGAGGGGTCCAACAAAACAAGCTAAATGATACATTTAAAACCGGCCATGTTACCTCATAACAGGTTAAGTTCGCGCGTTCGGTCAGAAACTCAGTACAATGTATCCACGGGCTGATTAAACTGAGTTCCAACACACAAACAAACCCCCTCCCGCAGGCCCGTGAAGCTGGGGTTTGGGTGACCGGTTCAAAACAGTTCAAACCCAGATCAAACCGGCTTCAAACCCGCTTCAAACCCCTCCCGCAGGCCCGTGAAGCCGCACGACAAGTACAGCGGGCGCGGCAAGGCCAACGAGGAGCTGCCGCTGCCACGTGGCGAGGTGTCGCTGCTGATCACGCAGCGGCTGCTCGCGGTCTGCAACAACATCGCGGCGCACGTCTACAAAGTGTCCCCGCAGAAATACAGTGAGCCAGCCTCTGTCTTTTTTCGCTTTCGGCTCTTATGATCCGATACTTGATTTGCTGGTTACCTGGTGCGAAGCTGGTAGCGAACAACCCCGTCTATCTGGAAAGCGCCGATCAGAACACGTCGTCCAAGTTTCACCGCAGAAATATAGTGAGTCAGGCGACGTGCCTTTCTCTGCCTCTTCTGGCTCTTATGATTGGATACTCGATTTGCTGTTTCCCTGGTGCGAAGCTGGTAGCCGAACATCCCCGGCTATCTCGAAAGCGCCGATCAGAACACGTCGTCCAAGTTTCACCGCAGAGGTACAGTGAGTCAGGCGACGTGCCTTTCTCTGCCTCTTCTGGCTCTTATGATTGGATACTTGAGCGCTGGTTACTTGGTGCGAAGCTGGTAACCGAACGGCCCAGTCTATCTGGCACTTGCGGAGCAGCGCCGTCTACGAAGTGTCCCCGCATTTTGACAGTGAGTCAGCCGCCGTGAGGCTTCCGTTTCTTTTTAGCTTCCATCTCTTCTACTCGGGTTGCCGTTTACTCGGTGCATAGCTGGGAGCGAACGACCTAGTCTATGTCGCACTCGCCAACCGGCGCACGTCTACGAAGTGTCCTCGCAGAAATACAGTAAGTAGCTGCCGTGCCGCTTCTGTTTCTTTTCAGCTTCCGTCTTATGTAATCAGCAATATGGTTGCCGTTTCACTTGGTTCGAAGCTGGTAGACGAACAACCCAGTCTTTCTGGAATCACCGACCAGCGCCGTAAAAAAATGTCCCCACAGAAGTAGTTTGAGTCGGCTGTCGCGCTTCATGCTCTTAGGAGCGTGTCTTCTTGCTTTGAAGCTGTTACCTTTAGCAACTCATTCCGTCCGATTCGCAAGTCCCAACGCAAGTCTGAAGCTATTTGCGCTCTTCGCCAGGCCACTTGCGGCCTTCTAGGTGGAATCCGACCACGATCCGCTCCGTAAACATCGCTCACGTGCCGGCAGACCTTCCAAGACTCGGCTTTCTGACGACTCTTGTTGATCAGAACCTGACCCTTCTTCCGCTACTTCCGCTCCGCAGAGATCGCCCACACGCGCCTGACCTTAGCGAGCTCCTCCTCTCCAACTACTTCCGTTGCTCGAATGCTGATTCCTCTTCCGTTTCGCGTGCTCCGCTGATGTGGCCTACGTGTTGGCTGACCTTCAAGAGCTCGGCTTTCTCGACGACTCTTGTTGCGGAAACCTGACCCCTCTTCCGCTTTTTCCGCTCCGCAGAGATCGCCCACATGCGGCTGACCTTCAAGAACGACCTGCACGGCAACCTCTGGCTGCTCTACTGCAGCGAGCTCAAACTCGAAGCGCCCCCTGGGGATCCAGACTCGGCCCCCGGGAAGCCTTCCGGGTTACCCGCGCTGAGCCCCGAGAAGAGCGCTTCCGGGAGCTCTAAGGGCGCCCCGCCCGCGGCCTGGGTGGAGCGGCTTTACACCACCTCGCCATTCCGGACGCTCCGCTACCGGAAGGAGTCCGGCCTGGAGAAGTTGACGTCAGGCAGCGACGAGAGCGCGATGCTCGAGCTTCGCGCGCTGCTGGACGGGAAGATCAAGTGGGGGGCGCGCGCGCGCGCTGGCAGTGGGGCGGGGGCCGCTTCGGACGGCGGGAATAAGAATTCGGACGGCTTGAATAGGAGTTCGGACGGTGTGAATGAGCGGTCGGACGGTCCGGACGGGGAGGACCGGCTTCCGGGGTTGTTCGTCCGGAACTTTGGGGCGCTGGAGCCGCTGCCGAGGATCGTGGGCCTCGTCGAGGGCGACGTCGCGCGGGGCGCGCGCGCGTCAGCGGGGGGAAAGGGTTTGGAAGACTACTTGGACGGGCTGCCGAGTCTGCAGAGTCAGTTGAAGGCCGGGGGAAGAGATGACGGGGAAAGTGGCAGCGAAGACGAAATGGGGTGTTCCGAGGACGAGTTTGAAGGAGTTGGGGAAGGAGAGGAAAGAGTAGAAAGATCCGCTGCGGAAGAAGCAGGGGAAAGGGATGCTTGTGAAGGGGGTTCAGAACGAACGTGGGAAGGAGGGGAAAATAGAGAAATTGATGAAAGTCGGCGGTTGCCGAAAGTGGGGGTAAGAGATCGACCGGCGGGAACCTCCGGGGAGTCGGACTGCGATGCTGAGGTGGCGCGCGTCATGGGTCGCGGCCGCCACCGCGGCGAAGATAGAAAAACTCAGCCGTCGAAAGAACGGGACAGCGCGCAGGGGCTGCAGCCTTCGACCTCGATGTCGAACGTGTCAAGTCGGGGGGGCAGTCGGGGGGTGAAGCGCGACGTGATCGAGGACCGGTGGAAGCCGCAGGGGAAGTTGGAAAAGGAGATTCAGCACGCGTTTGAGAGCGTCGCGATCGAGCGGAAACCCGGGGCGTTGCACTGGGGATACGAGAACGAGCAGAAGCCGGAGACGTTTGCCCGGCGGTCGAAGTCTCCGGTCAACAGCGGGGCGGCTTATAAGGACGACTCGCTTCTGAAAGCGTTCAAAGAATCGGGGATTAGCGGGGGCGGGAGAAGCCGGTTATCGGTGGCCCGCCGGGCGCGGTCGAGAGAAGCGGTGTCGCGCTTGGGGTCGGAGTCAGATAGAGTTGCGTGATAAAACGACGAATGGGTGCAAGGGTGTCTGAGATTGTATCCCTCTTTTCGCGCATACGTCTCTTAGGAAAAGCTGAAAGGTTTTTGAAAAGCAAATGCAGGCTTCTCTGCTGCCAGACTGGGCTCGAAAGATGCTCAGAGGTTGTGTATATATAAACCACTGTCGTTGACCTTGTCATCTATGTACATAGTTCCAATGTCAAAGGACGAACCGAGCAGCCCGACTCCCCGCACATACCTACATGCGCCGCATAATCGGAGCAACTTTTCATGCAACCATCGTCAGCCATTCGATCCGCCAGCAAGCCTGAAGGAATACATACCGGACTGGAGAGCTAGTGCATCCCCGAATGCTAGTGCACGTCTGAACGCGTTCATCATCCAAGGTCTTCATATTTTCAGAGTTTGTTCGTTCTTGTCGACAGACATTGAATCACATGTGAATCCACTTTCCGGAATTACTAAAAGATTCTCATGATCGACTTGGTTCAGAGACTGTTCGAATGACGGTTCAATGCATACATACATACATCACATTATAAAGCCCGTACCGAGGCATGGGGCTTAATTGAGTACATGGGGTCGGGGCCGAGTTCTACCTAACAAGCTAATTGAGCTACATGATCTCCGATCTACCTGCAAGCAAGATCTTACACTGGCATGGTTTCTCTTTATGTGGGGGTCGTAAAGCATCTCCCCTCTGCAGAGTTCTAACCGTGTCTCTCCTAAGCGGCTGGCGTCGTACATCTAATTTGAAGGCTATCATACCTTCACTGCCCATTCTTCCAAGTCGATCCTCTACAGTAGTGCTCGTTGAAACTCTAGAGTTTGGTGGGGCACAATGACGGTGCTTCGGAGATGTGCTTGCGAGCAGGCGTCCAGCTTGTCGATTCGGAGCCAATATCCCATTACTCAATTCCTCCGAGGGCATCCCTTAGCACAAGCCGCATGCGGCTTTACCACAGTTGAGTGCAATGATAGAAGTCACTCAAAGTAGGTATGCATAATGTATACATAGCATACATATACAAGTGCAGACGTTCATACCCAGGGGCACGGTGAACAATAAGGCGCCATCAACCGTGATCAATAGAATACGAAAAATAGTTGATGCTAGGCTGAACAATTGAACGTTGTACGAATACATCAATCCATAAAGAATGGTGCCGGAAGCAACTTTGCAAGGTTCAATTTGTCACTTGCCGGGCTAGAATGATCGTACAAACTTCATGTCAGATTGGGAACCCAACAGTGAGGTTCTCCCATATGACTACCTTTCAATCTGGATTCGCGCGGGTTCTAGTTGTATCTACCGCCGCTACGTCCCGGCCTATAAGAGCCGCGGTTAGAAGCGCCGCGCCCTCGATACCCCCCCCATGACGGTTCGAACTTGAAGCTTGAAAAAAATTGACTTAAAATGTGGGAATCGTGCGGTGAGAATCCTACTCCGGCATCCGCCACGTGGACTCCGGGACGATAACTTGGACACTCACAAGGGCCGGAGCGCTCCGGCCCGCCCCACAGTCACGAGCTTGCAAAATAGTCACTGGGGTGCACGCACTCATTTGAGGTCAGCTAGCAGCACGTACTCCATGCGATCGTATGCGTCCGCCATGTTTGTAGTTCTTCCTTCTTACACCTCAATGCCCAGGTGGCAAGACTTTTTACTAGTGGTACTGAGACTGTACTACAGTAGCCGACTCGAGATCTAACGAGTCCTGTTCACACCACTGCTTTTCACGTTCGCGCGTCGCGGCCAATGAGGCTGTCGACTTATTATTACTTATTAATGGTGCTTTGCTCCATTCCGGGTTGCCTCGCTCCTTGAATGGAGCAAAGCACCAATTGATGCAAAGTTACACTTGAATACTTGCGCCGATCTGGTTGAACGCACTCCTAGAGATCTGCAAGGCTCAACTTCGAACATCTTGATATGCACAACCTGTGAAGTTTCATGTAGCTTTTTCGGCATCACCTTCGACGAACGGAATTTGCATGCAACAAGCATCGAGAACAGGGTGCCGCTGGAACAATTTTGTCGCAGAGGCGACTGCAGCAGAATCCTGCGTGAGTCAAGATGCTGCAGACAGCAGGTTTTTTCTTGAGCGGAGTTGTAGAAGAGCTTAGGAGATGAGAGATGGGTCATTCTTTAGAGCGGAGAACGGAGGACTCGGGGTTGATAAGGCCACATCTTAGCTGCAATGAAGGTTAAGAATCTGCGACTGAAGGCTAGCTTGAAAAGCCTCCTCTGCAATTGAGGTTGGTGGATTCCGTCTTCGTCTCACGAGATGGGAAGCGCCTCCCAAAGAGAAAGTGCCTGTGCCCTGGCCCGCCATGAGAACAGCGAAGCGCAAAGATTTGCCGAGCATGTGAGGTCGAAGCGCACCTTGAAGGAGATTGAGGCGATGATGGTTGAAAGTGGGGATGTCAGCATAAACATGTTGCATCCGGAGAAGTGCAAGTGGCTGGAGGAGATTTCAAAGCAGATCCTCCAAGGAGATAGGGAAACAAGGTACTTCGCTATCTGCAGATTCAAAACAGTCTTCAACGGAATGCTGGCAACAAAGGATTCTGACGCATGCACGAAGTATGCTTCATACGTGCTCAACCAAACCGTCATTCTGGAGGAGCTTTCTCGGGGGCTGCGAGAGTATGAAGAGGACAGGAAGTGTTATCTACTCCCTAAAGAGCAAATGAGGAAGAGGCAAGCGGGGAGACAGGCGAGAGAGCATGTGACCTTGTTCTCGGTGGTGGCTATGTATTCGAATGCCCTTGCGAGTCTTGCATTAGACAAAAGAGCAGGCAAATTTAAAAGGACGCAACTGAAAGATATAGTCAACATCCTGATGAGGAACTATGACGCCGTCAAACTTCCGGAAGAGCTGAGCTTGAGGTTTTCATTTTCGGTCAACCCTGAGCTTCAAAGTAAGTTGGGATTAGCAAGGACCCTGTTTATTCTAGCCTCAGCAAAGGAGCTTGGCAGCAGGTTCATCAAGACTGTGCTTCAAGACGCTCTTTCTGCGTCCGAGTATCCCAGCCTTGGCAATGACGCAATTGCCACGTTGCATATGTGCGGTAAATCGACGGCATATGCATGTTGCGTAAGCCCGGAAGCAGCTCGGATTGTCTTCACTGTCACTAGCACAGTCCTCAAAACAACCAGCGACAAGGGAACGATTCAATTCGCGATGCTGCTGCTGGGGGGTACTTTTGGGAGAGACAAGTCCTTGCTGAAACTCATCCAAAGTTACAGCGCTATCTCATCCTGTCTTCTGGCTATGGCGACCACTTCTGCGACAGAGACTGATTTCAACAAGCTTGCGGTTGCATGTCTGCGAATGACGTTGCCAGGAGTCATGAAGGAAGCAAGCTCATACGGCGAGAAGTTGCATCCAGAGGAGCTGAAGGCGCTCGAAGCCCTACTAGCAAAAGACGAGCTGGCAAGGAGACGGAGGAAGGAGTTTGATTCTATCTTTGGGACAGAGATGAAAGAGGCCCTTTCTTTCGGGGCTGACGAAGGAAGCGCTGGAGAGTTCAAGCAATCAGCCGAGTTCTCTGCAAGCCGTTTGACTCCTAGCGATGAGCCGACCACCTTTTTCAACGTGACGCAAAGTCCTCTCAGGAGATGTGCGAGAAAGGAGTGCAACAGAGTTGAGACGTCGGCAAAGGAGTTCAAAGTCTGCGGCCAATGTCGATTTGCGACATACTGCTCCGAAGGTGAGGAACTTGTCTCCTGAAGGCCTTTGCAGACTCAACATCCTAGTCATAAAAGCTCATTTATCTCAACGGATGGTTTGCTTAAGGTTCAAAGGCAAGTTGCTGAAATGATTCAAAGATGAAGCTTGTGGTAGCACAGAAGCAGAGCGTTCGTTTCCTGCAAGCAATAAAAAGACAGGATACCGATCCGATCACAATCTAAGATGTGATTAAGCTAGCGGTGGTACAGCTGTGAATGCTCTCAACCATCCGAAGTATCTTTGGCAGGGTTTTCATGCGGTTAAGTTTGATTGGATGACTTTAGCCAACATGGACTGGCACCCTTGAGGTTGTCCAGTGTTCGCATATGCACATTCGATTCATATGCACGTTCGATTCAAATATTGACCAACCCACTTGTACTAACCTTTGTAGACGTTCCATAGTTTTGCGTCACCTTTTCGTGCGGCCGACGTATTCGTCAGCGCATCTCATTAGACGCAATTTGCTCCCTCGGGCTAACCTAGCGCCGCCGTTGTGTTTGCAGAATGTCAAAAGCATGCCTGGAAAGAAGGCCACAAGAAGGAATGTAAAAGTGCATCCGTCGCTCTGAGGATGAAGTGAGATTAGTAGTTCGGTTACGGTCGCGCGGTTCCAATAGAACAGACCAGTAAGACTCGTCTAGGCCATTGCTGCGGCTAACATATCCTCGGGACGAGGCAAGCTGTGTTCAGTTTGTAAGCTCCTTCATCGGCAAAGATAGCTGACGGATTTGAGCTTTTGCATGATGATTTTCTTTCAATGAATTTTCTTCATATGCTCGATCAGTTTAGCCTCCATTTACATCGTGGAAGTTCGCCGCTGCCCACCAGATTTGATACTCAACAGTCTTTGAGTATATGGCCTGTAGAAGTTGTGTCTCTCAATCCCTGCAGTCAGGCTCAACTTCTCAAATAGAACAGAATGAAGTATCTGTTGTCTCTGTGGCCGTGTCCTGATTGGAATTTTGCTTTCGTAATGTGACTAATGCATGCCCCCCAAACTGCAGCTCGGCATACGGTTCTGGCATACCACGCCGGATGATTTGGAGCAATCCATGGGCCGATGATTCAAGAAGTTCCATACATACGTCATGCAATGTTCCACGTGTGCATTGCGATCCACGTCAACACGTGACCAACTGTTTAGTCATTATGCACATCTAGCGAAACGAATGTTATGCAGAGCAAATCTGGTAATTTCGAAGGAGAACGAGATAGTGCTTCATGTATGTACGTTTGGCTCTTCGAAGACAGTCAGACAGCGGCATCGAGATCCCGCCCCTTCGAAATCATGCATCATCTGGCCAAAAAGCATAATATTGGACCTCTGCCAAGGACCACCCATTCCCTACAAATACATCTTATGCTCGGTCCAACACGAGTTCTCCTAGACCTGAGGATTAATCTGTATTGACCCTACTTTCTCTGCGATAACCACTCCCTTCTCAGCTACCGTCGTACCTCTTTTCATGAATGCAATCTCCGGTCTCTGTCAAGTACTGCTACGCAACGCTCTTCCAAAATCGGCACGAATCGAGACGTGCATTCATCCAGCATTTTAGACGCAAGTTGACAACGCGAGCAAGAAACTCCAAATCTTACCACGCCTCGATCAAGGTATTGTCCTAAAAGTATCTAATCGATCTAGATCAGCATGAACGCCGCCAGTCCCAGGAGCGACGATGTACCGACCGCAGCTCGCAGTGATTTAAAAGCGCTGAGGCGCATGCCTGCAGTAAACACACGAAGTTTAATATTTGATCTTCATTACAGGAATGCATCAGAGTCTCGAGCAAAGAGAAGCGGCATACACTGAGCGAAGCCATTCAGATCGCGCAAAACGAATCGTCCACTTGATTAAAAGCAAGTTCAGGGAGAAACGCGTTAGAAGCAGTTACGCAGTCGAACATCTACTGTTCTGAACAGCACCGACTGCAGCACTAGGACAATCTTGACGGTTCTTTACTCTGAGCTTGGCACGACAGGGGCTCTGAAAGAAGATGGACGTCCTGCAGACATGTTCCTGCCATCTTACGAACGCTGACGTCACTACAACTAAGATGCTTGGACGATGAGAAACGGGTCGGACAAGGCTTTCGATGTTCCTCTCAGGCTTACCGCGGCCGAGGTGATTGTCCTAACCAACTTTACCCAATACTTGGGCCTTGAATTTCTGTATTGCTTGCTTTTAGTGAGGGTACGAGGTCTTAGGTTCTGCGGTTGAGCAGTTCTGGGGTTGAGCACTAACTAAAGGTCCTGAGGACTGAAGAAATCGCGAAGGATCGTTAAGCGTGGTTTAGGACTAAGGACTGCTTGAGTTCGTAAGGACGCTGTAAGGTTGTCAGGGATCGTTGAAAGACTGTGGAAGAGTTGTCAAGAATACTCGAGTAATAGTGTCTGGAAAGTGTGAGGGATAATCAAGAAATCTTGAGGGATGATCATCTGGAAGCTTACCCGAGCTTGCCGCTGCCGGCGTGGTTGCCGTGACCAGCTTCTGATCAACCGTCAGGACCGGAGCTGGCGTCGGATTGGTGTCCGAAATGTTGGACCGCGTTGGGAGTTTGGGAGCGGACAGAAGCTCGACCATCGTCGTGGGAACTAGGCCTGGCGGAGAAACTCAATCAAAGTGTCAGACAGGAACGGAAGAGCGTCTCTGTAAGAAGCTGGGTATTGGGAACCTGGCGAGCGCTCTGAGGGCAAAAGAGATTTCATGATGCAAGACAGGAACAAGAGAATGTTCCAGGCAGAACACGCGCAGAGGAAGTTTCTGAATACCCAGAGGACGACTATGCCGTTGCTTTATCAAAGTTGGACCAGTGTCATATGGATATTGTCCCTATTGACAAGGGATGCTAATACCATTATCAGGGCGTCATCAGAGCCCTTATCAAGAACTAAATGCAAGGGTCAACAAATCCATATGCTAAAACGTCAAGGAGCATCACGGCACAGTGAACAGATGCAATAACCGGGAATCTCGCACGAAGAATGGCCCAAAGTCTCGTTCTTCGCTCGTCTATGCCTTCGTAAGAGCGTACGACCCAACGTTGTGGGGACAGCCCTCACCTGCTTGCAGCGCGCCGGCAGAAATGGTCGAAGGGACGATGACCCCCTGTAGTTCGTAGAAGAAGCAGTCCGCCGTGTTGGCGAAGTGGCCCGCCAGCAGGGCCTGGTTGTCCGCTGTGACCGTTCCGCCATTTCGCTGGATGACGACCGGGTCTCCGGACAAGGTTATCAGCATGGTTCCGTTGACCAGGTCGGCGGAACCGAGCTGTTGCCCCACGAAGTGGCTCAGCAAGATATTCTGCAGACGGAAATTGCATTTGAGAAAAAACAATGGAGGTTGAGAAAACTTCAAACAGGAGAACAGTAAGCAAGGAAAGAGAGACAGGGGCCAAGACTCGTTGAATGTGGCAGCTCTCATTTCAGAGCTATTTTATTTCAGAGCTCCTGAGGGCTAACTAGAGGGGCGCGAGGCGCCGGAGCTTTTCTGAGGTCAAGTGATGGATGACTGGGTATTCCCATCAGCTCTCCTTTCAGTTTTGTGTCTAGAACAACACCTCCGAAGACATTCTATGCTTAACAACTTAAATTCTTTGAAATGTTGTAAACTTTCTCCCACAAGATCGCAGTAAGTTGAAGTGCTCTGTTTGAGCTGCTGCAAGCAAACAGGGATTCCAGGAAAGGCACCATTCAAAGACATCCTTACGAAGTCTGAGATGACTCGTATTCTGGTCTGGTATGTGGAAACGAGAAGGTCCAAACGGTCCGCAAAGCATGCGACCTTCAGAGGCAGAATTCCCTGACTTTGTTCACTTACTTGCAGCTTGACTTTTGAGACTTTGTTCATCCTGAAGAAGAGTTGATCAGTGGACTGAAACACTAGTATCCCTATCCTGTACTTTCTAAACAGCACATAGATTCATTGTTGAGATTCAAGAGCCTGTACTGCCCCTCGTTCTATTGAGTCTCGCTTCAAAGAAGTTGAAAACTCACTTGAAGATCCTGCAGTTTGTCGGGTTCCCCCAGGAAAGCAAGTGCACTGTCCTTGACACTATTTCGCAGGGCGTCATCTGTTGGTGTCATGACTGTCAGCCTGTTCCCAAAGTTGAAGAGCGCATCTAGAACTCCAGGCACCAGCCCTGCCTGCTGCACCAAAGCTGCAAATAGGGTGTACTGCGAGCTTCCCAAGGCTTGGAGACAGGGACTCGAGCTGGAGTTTAGAAAGAGCAGCTCACTGGAAAGAGGAGCAGGGGCGGGGGAGAGCTGAGCTTCGACGAAATGAAGGCGAATGGAACTGAGAGAGACGAGAGACAGCACGAGAAGCACTGAAGGAAGAGGTCTTCGCGAAGAAGCCATGTGTTGTCTTTGATGCCGGAGCTCCATTCTGCAGCTTTGGAGCACGAGGACAGCGAAAGCGACGCCTGACAGCAGAGGAAGTTTTTCGCTGGTAATGGCACCTTCTTGTGAGCGCTCTTGCAGAAGGCGTCTTCTTCTGTGGCGAGCTAGTGACCTCTCAGGTGGCGTCCTCAGCTTTTGTCTTCGCCAGAACGAACAGTGAAATCAGCAAAACTGGAGCGTGAAGCTGCTGAAGGAATTAGCTAGCGTCTGAAGCTCGTGCCTTTCTTCAAGACGAAAAGTGAGATCAACTAATCTGGAGCGTCAAGCTGCTGAAGGACAAGCCTCCTTAAAGGGGATCAATCTGGCTTTTGAAAGAACAAACCTGATTTTGGGAAGTCCTGCAATTACAGCTCAATCCCACTGATGACAGTGACCTGCACTGTGCAGACGCATGGGAGCCGCCAGGGTCGGCTCCTGCGCATGACGCAGTCGTGTGCTTCCAACCTCTCCGTAAACCACGCGTCGAAGCAGTCGGGCGCACTGTCAGCGGACGATTGCTTCGACGAAGGTCGATTTCGAACATTCAACACCTGCCGTTGACCACGTTGACTGAAATGGCGCCGGGCCGGGGTTTAGCCGCAGGTCGCGATAAGGTTCTAAGGTCAACGGTTTCGTACGGTCACAAATTGGAAAAATTTGGTGCATTATGATCCGCTGACAGGCTTTGCAGGTAGAAACACTAACAGCTAAGGTCCACTACTATGGCGACAGTACTAGTAGTGGGAGTACCCATTACGTAGGTCTCCGCAGTCACTTCATGGCACGTCATGGTATGTGCCAGGTGTACGATTGGTTCGTTTCCATGCTCACTTGACGCCCGTTGACTCTTTTGAACAGCCGAGGTAAGAGCTGACCACAAGGTGTGGCCGTTCCGAGGGAAAATCGCATATACGAAAGGGGCGGCGACTTTACATCTTCGACCATATACTACGTGTGACCAAGCTTGTCCTTGTCACAAAAACGGTCATGTCCTTTTGCAAACTCGGAGGAGGTCAAGAAAGTCCCCTTACGACGTTACAGCTTAATGCAACACGAGTTAAGTGCTATAATTCATCGTTTGTCAGTTCCGTTTAATGCGCAAAGGCCACGTCAGAGACCCATTGCAAAACAGAACAGCTCAAGCCTCGGCAGTAGCAGGCTACCTTCACACGAACAGCAGCAAATTTCACACCGATAACTCTGCAGTGCTATTACAAGCAGCCGCCCATTTGTCCGAAAACCTCTCATCTGCCGCTACCTTACTTTGGAGGCCGCATTATCTGAAAATATTGGATAAAACCTCCCTGCTCTCAATCGTACCCGCCAGCATGCCCCACATCGAGAGTTACTACCGGAGGGATGGGACATACGTTAGAAGCCACTACCGCGCCCCTGCTGGCGGGGGCTATGCGTCAAGCTCTGACGACTACGATTCGGACTGCGACGATCTGGGCGGATTTGAGGACGGTCCCTGGAACCTCATGTTTGCACCGAGAGGGCCTACCGGGTTCGGAGGCTGTTCCCCGGTGCCCCCCCCAGAGCCGCAGATAGTGTATGTAGAACGCCCGGTGTATCTCCCTGCCCCTGCCCCGGTAGCACCCGCCCCGGTGCCCGTTCACACTGCACCGAGTGCCGCACAATCTCGGGCGGATGTGGCTGGTCTTGTCGACGCATTGAGCGGGCTCAACACGCGAGACAGGCGACCGCCGGTGAGAGCATCGATGGTCTTCTTTGTCGCCCGCTGTTCGTCAGCTTTGTGCTGCTGAAAGTGGAGCCTTTGATGTAGGCCTCTCTGCGAAGGGAGGAAACGGCATTGTTCTAAAAAGGGGGCTTTCAGTCGGAAGGCGTTTAAAAGCTGTTTAAGACCGTCCATTATCCGGGTCCCGAAATATTGTGAAGAGGGCCTAAGGTTTGCATGCCCTTGCTAATATCAGCACAGTATTATCTACGGCTGATAAATATTTTTCTGAAGTAAGAGTGAACTTGTAAGCACTACCAGAAATATAAAACGACTGCTGTCGTCGATGGACAGAAACAGTTAGTGAGCAAAAACTTCAAAGCCTTTTTCCTGCTTGCTGCAGGGTCTGGACTCAGGAATCCTCAGCGCGGATTTACTGCAGCGGCTCCGGACGTCCGGACACATCATCCTCTTCAGCGACATCGGGTCTGTATACGTACTGCGGCGCAGTGGATTGTCCGCAGATTACATTATGCTGTGAAGCCGAGTTCTTAAAAACGGCCTCATTCGCACGTACTCAACAGAAACAGACTTCCGCAACTCTGGACATTTCTCAGCTCCATTCTCCAGAGGAGCCGGAACAAGCCACTTCGAAATGAAGAAGCTTCAGGCGGGGCTCTCAGGAGGCAGATGAGAGCCCCTTCTTCAATCCATGTTGTTCCTTGGTTCGGCAGTTTGAAATAGCAACCAGGACTGCACTGAGACTAACCACGACAACACCCCCAATTGTATCTCTGATGAAAGGTCTTCTCATCGCTGTGTGTTGCTTCTCCTCTGCTGGATAGGCCCGCTTGACGCATTTCTACCATTTTAATTCGTTAACCACAAGAAAGGCTTCGCTCCTGTCCCAAGACTCGTTAACGGAGATTTGACTAACTCTTCAACCAGCTTCATTTGATTGAAGGGGATCTCAAACAAGCCTAACCGGGGTGGTTGGTCAACGGTGGAATTTAATTTTGGAACGCAGTCACAACCCGGGAGAGGGCCGTTTACAAAGCCACGTGGCAGACCGCCGCGATTCGTTGACCAGATATTTGGTTAACGGTAGTTTTTTTCTGTGATAACGCAGCTACAACCCAGAAGACGACCTCGTCGGGGAGGGCAGCTTCGGCGCCGTATACAAAGCCACTTGGCAGACCGCCGCGGTCGCACTGAAGAAGCTGCGGTTCCAGAACATCACCCGGCACCAGCTGCAGGACTTCACGAACGAGATCAGGGTGCTCGCGGCCGCGCGCCACCCGCACGTCGTGCAATTCCTGGGCGCGTGCGTCGAGCGGCCGAACCTCGCAGTCGTCACAGGTAATTGGCAAGAATCTTCAATTTAGCAATAGTAAGCTTCAATAATAGTAAGCCAACCAGCCTGGGACGGGTAGGGTTAGTTTGGTGGTTAGGGTGGGTTCGGGTGCGGAGCGGGTGATTTTTAGATTAGGTTTTTAGTGTTTATGTTGGAGCTTACTGTTGCTGGAGCTTACTACTGCTAAATTGAAGAGTTATGTGATTGGCGCCCTCCTTGGTCAAAAGGCAGGGACTCGGGGAAACAAGTCGCGACAATCTAAGTAAACATTATATTCCTTTAGCTCAACCCTACTAACTAGCGTTCCTACCCGTACTTTGTTTCGCACCCATACCCACCCGAGCCCCAAGAAGATACCTACCCGTCTCAGGCAGTGTTCGTATCATTCTTAGAGCTTCTTATCCCTGATTTGTCATGCCTTCTGATCTACCGGAGGCTAAATTCAAGCCGGTTGGTAGACATCGCTTTGGAAACCAAAGCGCGTACTGCTCTTTCTCCAGGAACGATACGAATGGAACTTGATTCTCTTCGCCCCGAGTCGTACGTGTCAAACGGAATTGCGCTTTCCGCGCTGCAGTGAGGGCGATGTCGCCGAAGCTCTGCACCTCTTCTTTGAATTCTCATTGCGAAACCCTCTTTTCCCTCGCGCATTAGTATCCAGGGATCCTCAGTCCTGATCCGCACGTCAGTCCACTTCTGCGATCGATGCTTGAGCATCAACCCCCAAGAGCGAGTCTCCTGGCCCCGCGCATCCAGGGCTGACATGGAGGCAAGGTGCGCCGCTGACGTCATGCTGACGTCATGCAGAGTTTCTGGGCGGCGGCAGCCTCTGGGACGCCCTGCACGTCCTCGACGTCTCAACCGATTGGTCTCGGGAGAAGCGCCTCGACATCCTCCGCCAAGCGTGCTCGGGGCTTCTCTACCTGCACCACCTCGGGGTGACGCACCGTGACGTCAAGAGCGCCAACCTCCTGCTGTCCGCTGACGTCACCACGTGCAAAGTCGCCGACTTCGGCCTAGGCCGCGTGCGGAGCGGCTCGGCGATCTCTTCCACCCGGGGAGGCCCCCGGGTGATCGGGACGCTGCTGTGGGCGGCGCCGGAAATCCTGGAGGGCGGAACGGTCGACCGAAACGGGTACGAAGAAGGCGGACGTGTACAGCTTCGCGGTCGTTTGCTCCGAGGTGCTGACCGGAGTTCCGCCCTACGGCCAGCCGGAATGGAGCGAGCAGCAGCTGAGGCAGCGCGTTTGTGTTGAAGGTGAGCTTACAATGCTACAGGTGTTATTTGTAGGTAGAATCCCACTTTTGGCCCCCGATGCCCGCAAAGGTGCGAACATTAAGAAATAAAGATGATTCAGAGAAGCCAAAAAACTATGCAAATTACCTCGCTCCAAACCCTGTCACATAGCTGCATTCTCTCCTAATCAGCAACAGTGACAACGGCGACCATTCTTTCCAGGTGAGCGTCCGAACTTGCCCGCTGACTTGGCCCCGGACGTCCGGTCTGCCATCGAGCGCGCATGGGACAAAGACCCCGCCCGACGGCCAACAACCATGGGCCAGCTGTATTGCGTTCTGAACGGAGAGCCGATACCGGACACCCCGGGGAACAGTGAACCGGGCACTCGTTCCGCTGTTCCGGCCACGCAAAGGCAGCGCCGGTGCATCGTGTGTCTGGAGGGATCCCCCTCCGCGATGGTGAGACCGTGTCGGCATACGGTCACGTGCCAGGACTGTGTGCTGAAGATAATGGAGCGGACGGGGGACGGAGAGGCGAAGTGCCCGGTATGCCGTGCGGCTATCAGTGACTACGTCATCGGGAGCTATAACGAGTCGCTTGTTCGCTAGAGGCTTATGTGCATTTGCTTGATGATCTTTTGTGTTCCTTTCGTTGGATGTTATCTTACGACCAACTTCAGATTCGAAGTTTTGATCAATGCATGGCAGACCGTTTTTCGAGGCTGTATCGTTATGCGCCGGACCATCATTGCATTGTTTTTGGGTCAAATTTAGGGTCCTTTGCGGAAAGCTGTTGTGAGGATTTATGATAGAGTTCCTAAGTTTCAATGACATATCGTCACGTACTGAAACTGAAGTCACATGCAAGCATGCCTCATCTAATGTTCGCGGATATCGTGATAAAAGTGCATCTGTACCACATGTGGTACAGTCCGACACGTTTATCACAGCCTTCCAAGTCCGTCACGGTCGTCGGGGCGGCATTAGAACATGCAATAAGCATTCGAGGCATGTGGTACAGATGCACCTTTATCACAGCCGTTCAAGTCCGTCGTTGGGCATTATCGAACATGTGCAATGCATTCGAGGCGCGGCCGCGATTGCGATTCTTGGAACTCGTGCGCATGGGCCAATTATACAATCCAGCTAGGATACGCGCCTCTGCTGCCAACATGATTGCGGCTGTTCAAGCTTAGCCACCAAAGCTCCAACATCCGTACACTCACGATTCCATTTTGTCTGAATGGTGGAAGACGGGATAGCTATGGTGCGGTTTTCCGACGGGACCGGCAATCCCCGGGGTTTGACCTCCGAAATACGTGCACCGGCCGGGGCCCGAAGCCCCCAGTTAGCCCCAATCTCGAAAGTGAGTTCCGGCAAATGTGCGGGTAACAGCTAGGTCGGGTTTTCAGAACTTTCTGGCCGGACCGGGGAATTTTCCCCGTAAGTTCCCGGGACTGGTTTTTGGGGCAATTTGCCTGATCGAGTGGCCGGTAGTAAAAATAGTGTCGATACATGGAGCTAGGTAGGTAGGTACTCCGCCGTCCGGTCTAGTAGGTAGGTAGGCTCCCGAGTCCACTGTTCAGTGTTCACTGATGGTGGGTACGGCTCGACGGTAACTCAGAATTTTGGAGTCGTACCTTACGGAAGTACGGTACTATAGACCAGGTACCTATGCATGGTTGGTATTCCGGTCCCGGTACCTACCTCTGGAGTCTGAGGCTGCATCCGGTATAGATACATGAGGTACGTACGGTATGTACCGAGGTACCTACATTATGGTGTACCGATGTATGTACCTTGGCCCAACACTCGGCTTGGCCACCCACAATGGCGAAAATTCGGGGGGTCGGGCCGGCCATCGCCGGAGGCGATAAGGGGTCGGGCCCTGCGGGCCCGACCCCTTATCATTATTCAGCGTGACCTTGTTA